GCTCACCACCGTGGTGGCCTCGTGGGGATCTTGTAGGGTTTCCCCTGGGAGCAGAGCAGGTTCCAGGCGCTGCTGCCGTGGCCGTGTTCAGTCCTGCGGAGCAGCAGCAGCTCCTGGGCAGGCTCAGTGCTGCTCGATTGTGCTCAGGAAGGGTTCCTGTGTGCTCAGGAAGGGTTCCTGAGTGCTCAGTCATACCCAGGAAGGGTTCCTGTGTGCTCAGACAGGGTTCCTGGGTGCTCTGTCATGCTCAGGAAGGGTTTTTGTGCCTGGCTCACCACCGTGGTGGCCTCGTGGGGATCTTGTAGGGTTTCCCCTGGGAGCAGAGCAGGTTCCAGGCGCTGCTGCCGTGGCCGTGTTCAGTCCTGCGGAGCAGCAGCAGCTCCTGGGCAGGCTCAGTGCTGCTCGATGAGCTCCCAGATGGCCAAAAAACTCTGAGACCAGCAGCGGGAAGAGCTCCCAGGCGAGCCGGTGGCTCGTTTGCTCTGTGGCAGGAGGCCGTCCCGCTGGCTGGCCCCCAGCCCCCGTGCCCTGGCCGGGCTGCTGAAGGCTCGGGACGGGAGCCGAGCTCCGGAGCCGCCGGGCAGGACCCCGCCCGCCCTGCCCCCGGCCCGCAGGTGAGCCGGGCTGGGGGTCTGGGCAGGGCTGGGGGTCTGGGCAGGGATGGGAGTCTGGGCAGGGATAGGGGGGCACTGGGCGGGGATGAGGGGACTGGGCAGGGATGGGGGGGACACTGGGCAGGGCTGGGGACACTGGGCAGGGATGGGGGGGCTCTTCTGCCTGGGGGAAAGCTCTCAGACACGGCCTGGGTGTCGCACACTGCTCTAGAGGGAAAGCCATGGCTGCACCCCCGGGGATGCCCTTCCCCTGCTGGGCTTTGGGGGAGCCTGAGGCTCTGCCCACCTGGGGCAGATGTTTTTCCCAGACATTTTGGGGACAGATTTTAGCATTTTCTTGTGTGCTTTCTGCCTTTGTGGCAGCTTGTGTGGGGCAAGCATGTGGCAGCTGTTGGAACAGCTCTGCCCAAGTGGGCAGGGTGGGTATGTGGCCATCCCAAACGGTGTTGGGCTGCTTCCTTCTTCCCATCCTCGCTGACCCCGATGTCCCCACACCTCCTGTGCCATCCTTGATGTCCCCACACCCTCTGTGCCATCTCTGATGTCCCCACACCTCCTGCTCTGCTCCCACTCCTTGGCAGGACAGCTCTGCCAAGTACAGACCCCTCCTCGGGGGGCACCTCCTCCTGAGGAAATCCCTGATTCCACCCAATTCCCACCCCTGAGTGCTGGGGGAGCCTCTGAGGATCCTCAGGGTCCCCGGGGAGGCGAGTCTGCGATGACATTTGGGGTTCAAGGGGTGGCATTTGTGACATGGGGGTGACATTTGTGGCACAGGGGTGACATTTGTGGTGCAGGGGTGACATTTGTGGTGCAGGGCAGTCCGGGCACTGTGTGACCACACGGGCACGGCCGAAGGGCACCTGAGCTTCCACAAAGGGGACATCCTGGAGCTTCTCTCCACCGTGGATGAGGACTGGATCCGCTGCTGCCATGGAAACAGCACCGGCCTCGTTCCCGTTGGTTACACATCCCTGATTTTGTGAGGAGGAGGAGGAAGGGACCTGAGGAAGCAGCTGAGCTCGCTGGAGCGGGTGCCAGCTCGGGGAGGGGATGTCTCCTGCCACCTCCAGAGCTTCACCACCTCCGGGGCTGGCAGCAGCTCCAGGGGACCCTGTCCTGTGCCTGTCACTGCTGCATGGCGTCACCGTCTGCCACCGTGTCCCCCGGCCCCTCCTTGGCAGCTCGGGGCTCCTCAGCTGCTGCCCACCCCTGTGCCCAGGCAGGGATGGCTCCTGCCCCTGCCCCTGCCCCGTGTCGCCTCCGTGCCATCGTGTCCTGCCACCGCTGCCACCTCCACGTGCCCTGCCCCGCCCCGGGGCTGTCCCAGCACTCTGTAAATAATTGTAACCACGGGAATGAGCTGGTTCCACGGGGAAAAAAGCTGGAAATAAATAAAGGTTGTGACTGTCCACGCGTGGGATGAGCGCTGGGGCTGGCACTGCCCGTGTGGGTGGGATGCAGGAGAGGCAGGGCTGGGGCTGTGCTGGCTCTCAGCATCCCAAATGCTGCCAGGGAGGCCTCACACCCCAGCAGAAGGTGCCCAGAAGATGCCCAGGCTCCTCCACAGCGTGGGAGAGGCGGCTGCAGCTTCCAGAGCCAGGAATATCCCTGGAGAAGCTGCTGGGGACCAGCCGTGGGAGCTGCGCAGCAACTGGCACCAGCCCAGGCCGCTGGTTCAGTTCTTTAGAGAACTTCAACCCATCTCTTCACAGCCCAGAGGATGGCAGCAGGGGCCGAACGGCTCCAGGTTCTTCATGGTTTTGTCATTGTTTGTGATTTCATCCCAGAATTTGCGTTTCCTGCACCTCCCCAGTGAAAGAAAGGAGTGGCCACGCAGCTTCCAGAGCCAGGAATATCCCTGGAGAAGCTGCTGGGGACCAGCCGTGGGAGCTGCGCAGCAACTGGCACCAGCCCAGGCCGCTGGTTCAGTTCTTTAGAGAACTTCAACCCATCTCTTCACAGCCCAGAGGATGGCAGCAGGGGCCGAACGGCTCCAGGTTCTTCATGGTTTTGTCATTGTTTGTGATTTCATCCCAGAATTTGCATTTCCTGGGCTCCCCAGTGAAAGAAAGGAGTGGCCATGCCGGGGAGCGCAGCAGCAGCAGCAGCCTGGCCCCAGGGGCAGGTCGGGCTCTCTGCTCCCTCCCATGGCCACGTTTCACCCTCCCGATTTCCCTTTCCAGTGGCCAAAAGCCGCTGTCAGCCCCCGGGTAAAGCTGCTCTCCTTTCCCTCTGCTCTCATTTCCACTTCCCTCTCTGGGGTTTTTATTCTCAGACGAGTGACGTTATATCCTAATTGCAATGTTCCTTGGCTCGCCTTCAGGAGCCTTGATTGATTTCCACAGCTGCTTCTGGGCTTTTTCAACGAGGTCATGCCAGGAGGGGAGGAAGCCAGGTGGTATTTCCATTTCTTTATTTTCTTTTTTAAATAAACAACCCTCCAAGCCTTGGGTTTAAAAGGAGCGTAGGGGTCAAGCGTGGCGTTTTCATGATCACAGAGAGCCAGACTGGGAAAGGGAGAAAGAAAAATCAGGTTGCACAGAAGGGGTGAAGAGGAGGAGGAGCTGTTCCATTCCTGAGGGAGCCTGCAGGTGAGAGATCTCTGCTCTCACCTGTGCAGGTGAGTGCCCTGCCACGCTGGGACACGCCCTGGGGGTGACAGTCCCCAGCCTGTGCAGGGCAAGGGGGCTCCAGGCACTGGTTTATACCCGGGAATAGGCACCAAATCTGGATTTAACGGCACCTGCCCCGGTTTGCCTGATGGGCAGCCGTGGTCACAGCCCCTCCGACCTCACGGTGACCGCTATACCCCGGGAATAGGCACCAAATCTGGATTTAATGGCACCTGCCCCGGTTTGCCTGACGGGCAGCCGTGGTCACAACCCCTCCGTGCTGCCCCTGCCCCTCCTCAGAGCCCTGGGGTCACACTGAGCCCGCTGAGACGTCCAGCAGCTGGGGTTCCCATCCCGGGGTGTCCCTGGGTTCCCATCCTGGGGGGTTCCCATCCTGGGGTGTCCCTGGGTTCCAATCCCAGGTGGTTGTTCCTGGGTTCCCATCCTGGGGGGTTCCCATCCCGGGGTGTCCCTGGGTTCCCATCCCGGGGTGTTCCTGGGTTCCCATCCTGGGGTGTTCCTTTGTTCCCATCCTGGGGGGTTCCCATCCCGGGGGGTGTTCCCATGTTTCCATCCTAGGAAGAGTTCCTGGATTCCCGTCCTGGGTGGGTGATCTCAGGTTCCCATCCCGGGTGGGTGTTCCTTTGTTCCCATCCCAGGGGGTGTTCCCATGTTTCCATCCTAGGAAGAGTTCCTGGATTCCTGCCCCAAGTGGGTGATATCAGGTTCCTATACCAAGGGGATGTTCCTGGATTCCTGTCCTGGGTGGGTGTTCCTGGGTTGCCATCCCAGGGGACGATCCTGGGTTCCTATTCTGGGATGCTCCCAGGTTCCCATCCCAGTGGCTGTTCCTGAGTTTGTTCCCATCCCAGGGGGTGTTCCTGAGTTTGTTCCCATCCCAGGGGGTGTTCCTGTGTTCCTATCCCAGTGGGATGATCCCAGGTTCCCATCCCAGTGGCTGTTCCTGGGTTGGTTCCCTTCCCAGGGGGTGTTCCTGTGTTCCTATCCTAGTGGGGTGATCCCAGGTTCCCATCCCAGCTGGGTGAGCTTGGGAGCCAGGACAGCCCCATCCCCACCTCATCCCCAGAGCTCTGAGTGCCACCTCCAGGTGACACCTCCAGGGATGGGCACTCCCACCCTCCCTGGGCAGTTCCAATCCCTGGCCACCCTTTCCATGGGGAAATTCCTGCTGTGCCCATCCTGAGCTGCCCTGGCCCAGCCTGAGGCCGTTCCCTCTGCTCCTGTCCCTGTTCCCTGGACACAGCCCGACCCCCCGGCTGTCCCCTCCTGGCAGGAGCTGTGCAGAGCCACCAGGGCCCCCCTGACCCCCTTTTCTCCCTTCCCAGCTCCCTCAGGAATTCTCCAGTCCTTTCCCAGCTCTGGACACGCCCCAGCCCCTCAATCTTTGTCACAAAGGGCCCAAAGCCGTCCCCAGGGTTTGAGGACCCTCAGCAGAGGCAGCAGAAGGGGCTGGGGTCACTGCCCTGGCCCAGGCCAGGTGCCAAAGGCCTCGTGCCCACCTGGGCACACCTGGGCAGTGCCCAGCTGCTGTCCCCACACCCCCAGCCCCTTTTCCCCGAGCCTGGAGCGCTCTGGGGGTTGCTGTGAGCCCAGGGCAGCAGCCAGGACTTGCTGAGCCCCGTGGATCTCTGGATCCAGCCTGCCCAGATCCCTCCTCCTGCCCTCGGGCACATCCCCCCCAGCTCAGCAAAGAAAACCCCCCGAGCCAACCTTAGGAAAAGATTTTCCATTTAATACTAGACTCTCAGGATTGAGATGCAGGCTTTTTATGCAATTACATCCAATGTTAAAATTGGTAATACATAATTTACAAAGATTAACATCAAAACAATGATCTATTTAGATATGCTTTGTAAAAAGGAAATATATTAGCAGCATTTATTTTCAGCAATCACACAGCCTACACCCATGCAGACTAAGGTTCAGCTCTATTTGCAGTAACGTAGTGCTTCCTGGCTCCGGCGGCGATCCTGGGGACACACGGGTCTGCTCAGTATTATAAAATAACCAAAAAATAAAAAAAGTCATTAATTTCTACACCAGTAAGAAAAAACAATTCTTTGCACTTACCTAACATTTGATTGTCTAAAAAACATTTTGTTTAGTCTTTCAACAAAAGAAAGATAAAATGACAGAGCTAGTGTCTCGCTTCTGTACGCACTTTATTTTTTTTTTTTTTTTTAAAAACTTTTTAGTGTTTAACACCATTTGAGACAATGATTTCTGTTTGAAACTAAATGAGACAACTCGAGGGTTTGGACATGCGATATTCCTACTACACGCACGAGTATTTTATACTCAGGGATCCTGGTACTGTACAGTGCTTCTCTACAGTAAGAAAATATTCCAATCTATTTTCTTATTTCTTTTTTTTTTTTAATAAAATATTTTTTTTTCTCAAAGGGTTTTTTTCCTTTCTTTTTTTTTTTTGTGTTTTTTTTTTTTGTTTTGTTTTCTCTTTTTAAATCAACACATAAAAGTTAATGGAATGAGTCATGTTCCACTAAGAGTAAAATAATTATAATAATAACAAGAATGTACATTAGGACGAGCTTGGTCCATAAAAAGGAACATGTAACTACGGTATTGCTTTACATCCACGCAGCAGATATATACAACTTGGCACATTAAAAACCGGATTTCTTAGAAGAACACCTAAAACAGGACTGGATATGCATGTGTACGTCTGAGACAGGAAAGCAAAGCCACCGTCCGGGGGCAGCCCCGCCCCGGGGGCCGGCGGGACAATCGCGACAATCGCGACAGTGGCCACGGGGTGGGGCCAGCGGACGCTCGGCTGTCACCAGCACACGAGGGTAGTGTTAGCAGTTGATAAATTCTACAGCTCACGACAAACACTCGCTCGGATACTGCCTGACGGGCACGGAGTGAAACGGTCCTTGGGGTTGGGGTTTTTTTTTTGGTTTTTTTTTTTTTTCTTTTTTTTTTGTTTTAACGGGTTTTTTTATTTGCACAACACACGAGACACACGAGAACCACAGCTTATCAAAAAAACCAACAGCAATGGTGGCGTCAGGAGCTGACTTCGCTTTTATAAAATTTCTCTGCAGAAAAAAAGTGAAAAAACCTCACAGCCCACACCCTCCCCCCACACAGCAAGTGCCTCCTCCCAGCGCTCCTGCCCTGCTCCAAGGGCCTCTGGAAGCTTCTCCTTGGCACAGACCACAGGGACGCTGCTCAGCTGTCCCACGGCGACCCTCGCTCGGCTGGGGACTCCTCTCTTCTGGAACTTGTGCAAATCAGAGGCCTCAGCTTCAGGGCAGCTTTTTCTTTCAAGCCACTGGGCCTTTGCTCTCCCCTCTGGATTCCTGGATTCCCTTCCCTGGCGGTGCTGAGGGTGGCTGGTACAACGCCAGGTTAGCAGTGACCGTGGGGAACATCCTCCTCAGAGTAACTCAGTCCTTTTCCTCTGCCCTCCCTATTATTATTATTTTTTTTAAATTTTTTTTTTTGTGTGTTTTTTTTCTCCTCTGAGTGGGAATATCAAGCAAAAATAAATTAAATTTGACCATCCTGGACAATAACCACGAGGTTTCCTCAGTACCTAACATCAATACAAGGCACGCCCACCAACACACACACCAAGAGCACTGCAGAGCAGGGTGGGCACCGTGCCAGCCCAGCCCCCCCAGGTGCTACTGTTTGTATTTTGTCAGTTTGCTGCTGTGCCCCAGCCCAGACAGAGCCCAGAGCTCGGCTGCCCCTCCTGGCTCACTTCCTGAAGCTGCTCTCGGGGATGCTCAGCGTGCGGCGCCGCAGCTTCCGGCCCGAGCCCTCCTCCAGCAGGTAGGTGACATCGATGGCTGCAACAGAGCACAGGGCCACAGGGCATTTCAGTCACTGCAGGGCTGGAAAAGGCTGGAAAAGACCTCCAGGACCATCAGATCTAAGCTGGGAGGGATGCCCACCTGGGCACCCAGAGCACGGCACGGAGCGCTGCCTCCCACACAAAATTCCTCATTCCTGGCTCTTTCAAGGATTTCTCCCTCCAGGAAGTCCAAGCCATGCCTGGACAAGGTGCTGAGTGACCCCAGCCCGGAGCCATGGCTGGATCAGACAACCTCCAAAAATCCTCCAAACCCCAGGGAAGCATGACTGGCGTTGAACAGACTGGACAGGGCTCATCCTGGGCTTCAGTTTAAAAGCAGGGTCACACTTCACCAGTGTCCCCTTATCCCACAGCTCAGACAACACCTACAGCAGGTACTCAGAACCAAAGGAAAGCTCATGAAAGGTCCAAAGAGACTTTCCAAATTCCCCTCAGTCTTTCCTGGCCCGTTTCTTAAGTTACTCCATTGCAGGTATGGAATGATAGGGGGCAGTTAGTTTGTGGAAAGGCTTTGTGGTTATTAAAAATGTTATGTAAAAAAAATTCGAAATACGATGCAAAAAAAATAAAAACTAAAAATATGATACAAAACAGTGTCAATTATAAGAAATTTCACTTGGATTTAGTGGATTTCTGTTGCAAAGAAAACTGATTTTCTTAATGCCCACTAGCAAGAAATTCACACAAAACCATTCATTTTACCAACACAGCTCAGCCAAGCCACCCCAGACCCACAGGAGACCCAGAGGCTGTGCAAGCAGAGCCTCAACTCACCGTTTTTCCCTGGGATTTTCTCTAGGAGGTTGAGCAGGATCTGGTTGAGCCTCTCCCTCTGGAGGTGCCGCCGCTCCTCGGGGCTGCAGAGCGGCCTCGTGTCCGAGGGGTTCTCGTCCCCCTTCTTCTCAGCCTCGCAGCTCTCGCTGGGCACGGGCTCCTTGCTGGGCTCCTCGGGGCTGGGCAGCTCCCCTGGAGCCTGCTCAGGGGCCCCCAGCACCTCCTCCATCAGGGGCAGGGAATCTTCCTCTTGGTTTAAGTCTTTGATCTGTGGTTTCGAGCGATCCGATTTCCAGGATGACCTTGCAGGAAAAAAGGGGTTTGAACAGAAGTTTTTCACCTGAAAGGATAATTCTCAGCGAGTCCAGGACTCATCCATGGGCTGGGGATCCCTGGAGCTCAATTTCTTCCCTCCATCCCTGCACTCACACCCACCAGTGCTACAGCTTTATTTGCATAGCACCAAACAGCTTTGAAAAACAAATGGATTTTTATTTTCAGTTGCAAAAGATTTTACTTCCAAAAACACTTTGGCCCAGCCCTTAATGGGATGTTCTTGCAGGCTCTGTCAGATCTGGGCTCTGACTGCCCCACAGACACAGGCAGCAGGTCCAGGACCTGGGTTCCTCCATCTGGGAAGGCTGGAGCCTCCTGTTTTGGGCATCTCCTCACTCAGCTGCTTCTTTCTGACTTTCAAATGGCTCCTTTCTTTTCCTGATGTACATTATTAAGGCTGCCTATCCCTCCTCACTTGCTCCCTTTTATCTCTCTGAAAGTTTAGAGAGCTTTAAATAATTTAAACTTCTTATTTCCCTAGCACCCAGGGGAAAGGGGGAGAAGGAGAGTGGGCACAACAAACAAACATTATCTCATCTCTTCTCAACAATCTGGGAAGGGAGACTCACCTGCCTCCATTCCTCTTGTAGTTGTCTGGCACATAATGAGGCTGCAACAACAATAAAGATTATGATCAATACCAAATCAAATTCACAGTGGAAGGAAGTGCTGCTCTATCAAATACTCTGGAAGTGCCAATGCAGGACACTGTGGAAATGCTGCTGCACCTCAAAGAGACTTCACAGGAGGGGAGGCACAACCATGTAATAAGATAAATTAGAGCCAGACTTGTCTGATTCTTCACATCTTCTAAATAAATTTCAAGCCACAGACCATCATGATGAGAATCATCTTTGCTTTCTGCACAGCACGAGTCTGGAACCTTCTCAAAGCCACTACAAAAACCTCTGCTCCAGGAAGAGCAGAGTTCACTTGCAGAAGGTTTGCAGCTCTGCCACCTCTGAGTCTCTCTCTGAGCTCCCCATCACCATCCCTTGAGCACCTCTTTGCCTCTCAACTGCAGGTTCTGCTACACCAGTTTTCTTTCCAAGCTTGCTTTCCAGCCAGCTTTTCCCCCAGGCTGTGCATATCACAGAATCATGGAATGACTGAGGTTGGAAAATCCCTCCCAGAGCATCCAGCCCAAGCTGTGCCCAATCCCACCTTGTCCCCAGCCCAGAGCTCTGAGTGCCACCTCCAGGTGTTCCTTGGACACCTCCAGGGATGGCACTCCAAACCTCCCTGGGTTTGGAGGGAGGCTTGGATGGGGACTCCAAAACTCTCTGGATTTGGAGGGAGGCTTGGATGGGGACTCCAAAACTCTCTGGGTTTGGAGGGAGGCTTGGATGGGGACTCCCAACCTCCCTGGATTAGGAGGGAGGTTTGGATAGGGTTTCCAAACCTCCCTGCCAAGGCCTGACCACCCTTTCCAAGAGGGAATTCCTCCTGATGTCCAGCCTGAGCCTCTCCTGACACAACTTGAGGCCTTTTCCTCTTGTCCTGTCCCTTGTTCCTTGGCAGCAGAGCCCGACCTCCACCTACAGCATCAGCTCCCTCTGCCTGACCAAGCTTCATCTACCAACACCCAGGAACTTTCCAGAACTCCACCCAGCCTCCTAAAAACAGGTGAGGAAGCTGAGAGCAAAGGCACTCACTGAGAAATCCCTCTTGGGAGTGAGTTTCTTGGGGAAGTGGTCGAAGGCGTAGGGCTTGGTGCACACGGGGTAGCGGTTGCGGTGGATCTTGTAGAAGAGGTGAGCTGATTTATCCAGGCGGTAATCACAGATGTAAACATCCTGCTCCTTCACACCCTTCGGCCTCCCTGGCACCAGAACAAGGAGAAAACAGTCATGGACTGAGGGGGAAACACGTGGTTTGTCACAGTGTCCCTGCTGGCTCTCTCACTCAGAAGCCCAGCAGGTCAGAACCTGCATGCTCTGATCGAACACTTCCCCAGCTTTCACAGACACAATTATCAACTGACATCGTTCTCCCTGCCCACTGCTGTCCCTCTTCAGACAGGAATCCCTGCAAAGCCATGGCATGTCCTCAGCTCTGAGCCACACAGACATCCCCCACGGCCTCTGGACAGCAGGAACCACTCCAGTGCATGTCCTTGCTTCCAGAGCAGAGTGGATCTGTCCCAGTGCCTGGTTCAGGGTAAGGATGACGTTGGCTGGTGCCCAGCAGTGCCCATCCTCAGCCCAGCACTCTCCAGGGTGCCCTGCTCTGCCAGCAGGGCCAGCACAGCTGAGCCCAGCTGGCCACAGGATGCTCCACACCACGGAGGGTCCAGCCCAGTGGGGGTGGCTGAGATCCCCAGGCAGTGCTGGGGAGTGGCTGCACTGGGCATCACTTCCTGGGGTTTATTCACAGAATCATGGAGTGGTTTGGGCTGGAAGGGACTTAAATTTTTTCTAAACACCCCCAGAGATGGTGATTCCACCACCTCCCTGGGAAGAGCATTCCAATACTTTATTATCCTTTCAGTGAAACGTTTTCTCCTAATATCCAACCTATCCCTTCCCTGAGGTGGCTGAGACTGTGTCCTCTTGTTCTGCCAGTTGCTGCCTGGTGGAAGAGACCGACCCCCAACTGTCTAGAACCTCCCTTCAGGAAGTTGTAGAGAGCAATGAAGTCACCTCTAAGCCTTCTCTTCTCCAGGCTACACAACCCCCGTGCCTCCAAACATTTATAATCATTAAAATGAACTCAACCTAATGCTGGATTGTAAGGAATGACAAGAACCCACTGCAGAACCTGCCAAGAGCACTCAGATGTTTTTCACAGCAGCTTTACAGAAAAACTACCCACAACCTTCCTTGTCCAGACTGAAAACTCCAACCTGTAAGGGATCAAAACCATGACAAACCACAGGATATGTAAACATGTCAGTCATGATTAGGAAAAGGTGTAGGAATTAGTGATGGCTGCAATAAATCTGTGACAGAGAAGATACTTAAAGAAGGTTACTATTAAGAAAATAAATCCTGTCCTCAGAAGCCCCAAGCCTTTGGTTATTCCAGCAGAATTCCAATGAGATGTAGAGCTCAGGAAAGGTAAACAACGCAAAAAGGACTGAACAAACTGGCACTGCTGGCAATCAAAAAGTGTTTCCCAAGGGCAAACCCTAAGCTTAAATTGATTCATTTTGCCCTATAAAAGGATTCACTCCTTAATTTCTGTGCTCTGACCTGTGAAATCCCAGAATGACCTAGGTTGGAAAGGATTTTAAAGACCATCCAGTCCCACCCCCTGCCATGTGCAGAGATATCTCCCATTAGACCAAGCTGCTCAGAGCTCCATCCCACCTGGCCTTAAGCATTTCCAGGGCTGGGAAGAGATTCCACTTCTTCTGTTATTTACCTAAAAATGACCAAAACCTGGGAGGTCCCAAGTCATAAAAGCTCCCCTGGGTAGGAGCAGAGGTCACACAGCAGAATGTTCTGGCTGGCAGCAGCTCAGGAGGAGAAAGCACAGAACAGGCAAGCCAAGGAAAAGCCTCCCCGTGCTGCCCCTGCCTTCCTGCTGTTTATGGACTTTCAGAGCCAAAGGCTGGAGCTTTGGGGATTAATCCTTCTTCCAAGTATTTGTCTAATCTTTTTTGGAACCATTTACACTCTGACCTCTCCGCCCTCCTGTGGCAAGGCTTGCCACAGTCCAGTCATGATTCTGTAAAAAAAATCCTTCCTAGAGTTTAACTGATTTCTGTTTGTCCCCTCATTTTCTTGCACCTTCCTGAGCCACATTTCACAGACCTTCATCACCCACCCTCCAAATCACCTGGGCTGACTCTGTCCTCAGAAAAGATGATCCAGATCAGATTATCTTTGTTATCCTTGTTTTTACAGGTAGTGAGATCCTCTGTGCAGTGGGATGTCAGAGCAGCACAGGGCAGGCAGACACCCCAGCAGTTACACAAGGGCACAATCACTCTGCTCTTTTGTGCACAACCATTTCTGATACTCCCTTTGCCTTTTTGACTCAGGCAGAACATTTTTTTCTCATGTTTCCATTAAATTACAATGACTCCTGGGGGCTGTTTTTGCTATTTTTCCCCCCTGTTTTTGCATATGTGTAGTTATGGTTGTTGGCCTTCCATGGATATTTGGTGTTATTAATTACTTGTGAAAAATTAAAGTATTTTTGGCAGAGTAATGTCACAAGTGGCAGTTTCTACTTGGGAAAAAATGGAAGTATTTTTGATAGGGTAATGCCACAAGTGGCAGCTTCCGCTTGTGAAAAATAAAAGTATTTTTGCCACAGGTGGCAGCTTCCACTTGTGAAAAATGGAAATATTTTTGACGGAGTAATGGCACAAGTGGCAGCTTCCACTTGGGAAAAATGGAAGTATTTATGCCACAAGTGGCAGCTTCCACTTGGGAAAAATAAAAGTATTTGTGACAGAGTGATGCCACAAGTGGCAGCTTCTACTTGGGAAAAATAAAAGTATTTTTGCCACTAGTGGCAGCTTCCACTTGGGAAAAATCAAAGTATTTTTGGCACAAGTGGCAGCTTCCACTTGGGAAAAATGGAAGTATTTATGCCACAAGTGGCAGCTTCCACTTGGGAAAAATCAAAGTATTTTTGGCACAAGTGGCAGCTTCCACCTGGGAAAAATGGAAGTATTTTTGGCAGGGTGATGCCAGAGATCCCTGCACACTGCTGGCCCCAGAGGCAGCACCCACCTTGGCGGAGCAGCAGATCATCCCTCAAGAGGCAGATGTAATAAACACAGCCAGGCTGGGCATAGTGGGGCCGAGGGATCATGGGAACCTCCTGCAGGGAAAAAAGAAAGGGAGCTGTGAGATTTATAAGATAGGAAGTAGTTGGTTGTAGGCTTTTTGTTTATAAGGTATTATATAACATTCTGACCCAATAGGATGATGTTACAGAGTTTATTTTGGTTTTTTTTTTGATTTATCACTTTTATTTCTTTTTATTGTAATGTGGATATTTTTGTCTAATAAGGTCTTACTACATGTATGTAATATGTAACATATTACATATGTTTTTATTATAGCATCTAAATTTTAGCTTATTTTATACAACTACATTACTATACTACAAAACTTTTTATCATCTTATTTAAGATGATATAATATATATGTTGATTTTTGGCAGGGTGATGCCAGAGATCCCTGCACACTGCTGGCCCCAGAGGCAGCACCCACCTTGGCGGAGCAGCAGATCATCCCTCAAGAGGCAGATGTAATAAACACAGCCAGGCTGGGCATAGTGGGGCCGAGGGATCATGGGAACCTCCTGCAGGGAAAAAAGAAAGGGAGCTGTGAGATTTATAAGATAGGAAGTAGTTGGTTGTAGGCTTTTTGTTTATAAGGTATTATATAACATTCTGACCCAATAGGATGATGTTACAGAGTTTATTTTGGTTTTTTTTTTGATTTATCACTTTTATTTCTTTTTATTGTAATGTGGATATTTTTGTCTAATAAGGTCTTACTACATGTATGTAATATGTAACATATTACATATGTTTTTATTATAACATCTACATTTTAGCTTATTTTATACATTACTATATTACAAAACTTTTTATCATCTTATTTAAGATGATATATGTTTTTATCCATATATGTGTATATATATGTATTATAGATATGTATTTTCTTACTTAAAGTATATTCTTACTTATAACTATAAAAGCATAAGTTTATGGTTTTTCTAATCAATGTTTGTGTATTTTGCTTTCATATCAATTTAGGCTTCTTCTAAGGCTACAAATCAAACCCTCTTGAGTCTGTTAAGGTTTCTGTGTTTCTGATTCCCACACCACCCTATGCAAATACACAGAGAAAAACTGAGAAAAAACCAGAAAAACTGAGAAAAAAACAGAGAAAAACTGACCCCTCATGGAACTGAACCTAATTCAAGGAAGCTCCACCAATCCCAAAAGACACAAATTCAGAACACAAACACAAAACAAACCCCTAAGGAGCTGATGTAGTTTTATAAGAGTAACAGGAAGGAGAGTTTTGTTTTACCCTGTTCACAGCTCGAGGTTCACACTGCTCACACAGGTAGTGCTCAACGTCCGAGTTCACACCCATGCAGTCACAGTGCTGCCACACCTGGAAGAACAGGCACAGCCCTGTCACAAAACCCTGGCACTGACTGTAGCTGCAAACTGCATTTCTCAACAAATATTAAGGAAAGCAAGAAAATAAGCTTCACACAGGAAAGTCAAGATATTCTATGAACTATTTCACACCACGTCAGCAAACAGACAAGACCTCCATGCAACAGAAGTGTCTTTGCCTTCGAGACTGAAGCATTCACAAAATAAACAACTTTACAGCAACCCACAGATGAAATAAACAACTTTACAATAAACAACTTCAGCTCATGAAGACCCAAGACCCAGCAACACCTCGATGCTCACCATGCACTTTTCACACTGGATCATGAGCCCCTCGTCCTTGTAGAGGCCGCAGATGCAGCGGATGACGTCCTCGTCCTTCTCGTGCCCGTTGTCCTTGTCGCACACCGAGGTCTCGCTGCTGTCGGCCTCGCTCGCCGTCTCGCCCACGATCTCGTCGATCTGCGCCGAGGCCTCGTGCCGCGCGTTGTAGTAGGCCTTGCGCAGCCGGCACACGTCCCGCCCCGTCGGGGACTTCCTGCCGTAGTATTTCTGCAAAAATCACCAAAAAAAAACCCAAAAAAGCTTTATTTCCAAGTCCTATCCTGTTTAGCTCCTGTCTGTGCACACCTGGGAGGGGTTCTCCCTACAGCTGCAGCCCCAAACCTGGGGTTGCCTCTCCATCCCCCTCATGACTCTGACCAAAGTACCAGTAGGCCTTGCGCAGCCGGCACACGTCCCACCCCATTGGGGACTTCCTGCCATAAAAATCACAAAAAAACCCCCCAAAAAGTGTTTTATTTCCTGTTTAGCTCCTGTCCATGCACACCTGGGAGGCCTGGTGGCCTCTCCAGGTTCCTCATGACCCTGGCCAGAGTAGTAGTAGGCCACAGATGCAGCTGGCACACATCCCACCATGTTGGGTACTTCCTGGTGTAGTATTTCTGCAAAAATCACCAAAAAACCCCCAAAAGGTGCTTCATTTCCTGTTTAGCTCCTGGGAAGGGTTCTCCCTACAGCTGCAGCCCCACAGCTGGGGTGAAGTCTCCATCTCCCTCCTGGCTCTGGCCAGCAGGTGCATAGATGTGACACGGGAAGGACTGAGAGCAGCCCTGGGAGGAGGATTTGGGGTGAAGGGTGACCAAAAACTCAACGTGCCCTGGCCCTGTGTGTTCACAGCCCAGAAACCTTGTGTATTTTGCTTTCATATCAATTTAGGCTTCTTCTAAGGCTACAAATCAAACCCTCTTGAGTCTGTTAAGGTTTCTGTGTTTCTGATTCCCACACCACCCTATGCAAATACACAGAGAAAAACTGAGAAAAAACCAGAAAAACTGAGAAAAAAACAGAGAAAAACTGACCCCTCATGGAACTGAACCTAATTCAAGGAAGCTCCACCAATCCCAAAAGACACAAATTCAGAACACAAACACAAAACAAACCCCTAAGGAGCTGATGTAGTTTTATAAGAGTAACAGGAAGGAGAGTTTTGTTTTACCCTGTTCACAGCTCGAGGTTCACACTGCTCACACAGGTAGTGCTCAACGTCCGAGTTCACACCCATGCAGTCACAGTGCTGCCACACCTGGAAGAACAGGCACAGCCCTGTCACAAAACCCTGGCACTGACTGTAGCTGCAAACTGCATTTCTCAACAAATATTAAGGAAAGCAAGAAAATAAGCTTCACACAGGAAAGTCAAGATATTCTATGAACTATTTCACACCACGTCAGCAAACAGACAAGACCTCCATGCAACAGAAGTGTCTTTGCCTTCGAGACTGAAGCATTCATGAAATAAACAACTTTAAAGCAACCCATTCATGAAATAAACAACTTTACAATAAACAACTTCAGCTCATGAAGACCCAAGACCCAGCAACACCTCGATGCTCACCATGCACTTTTCACACTGGATCATGAGCCCCTCGTCCTTGTAGAGGCCGCAGATGCAGCGGATGACGTCCTCGTCCTTCTCGTGCCCGTTGTCCTTGTCGCACACCGAGGTCTCGCTGCTGTCGGCCTCGCTCGCCGTCTCGCCCACGATCTCGTCGATCTGCGCCGAGGCCTCGTGCCGCGCGTTGTAGTAGGCCTTGCGCAGCCGGCACACGTCCCGCCCCGTCGGGGACTTCCTGCCGTAGTATTTCTGTAAAAAGCACAAAAAAACCCCAAAAAGTGCTTTATTTCCTGTTTAGCTCCTGTCTGTGCACACCTGGGAGGCCTGGTGGCCTCTCCAGGTCCCTCATGACCCTGGCCAGAGTAGTAGTAGGCCACAGATGCAGCCAGCACACGTCCCGCCATGTTGGAGACTTCCTGGTGTAATATTTCTGCAAATATCACAAAAAAACCCCACAAAAGCTTTATTTCCCAGTCCTGTCCTGTTTAGCTCCTGTCTGTGCACACCTGGGAGGGGTTCTCCCTACAGCTGCAGCCCCAAACCTGGGGTTGCCTCTCCATCCCCCTCATGACTCTGACCAAAGTACCAGTAGGCCTTGTGCAGCCGGCACACGTCCCGCCCCGTCGGGGACTTCCTGCCGTAGTATTTCTGTAAAAATCACAAAAAAACCCAAAAAGTGCTTTATTTCCTGTTTAGCTCCTGTCTCTGCACACCTGGGAGGCCTGGTGGCCTCTCCAGGTTCCTCATGACCCTGGCTAGAGTAGTAGTAGGCCACAGATGCAGCCGGCACATGTCTCGCCATGTTGGGGACTTCTTGCCATAGTATTGCTGCAAAAATCACAAAAAAAACCCCAAAAAACACTTTTACTTCCAAGTCCTATCCTGTTTAGCACCTGTCTGTGCACACCTGGGAGGCCTGCAGCCCCCAAGCTGGGGCGGCCTCTCCATCTTCCCTCATGACTCTGGCCAGCCTTGTAGTAGCCTTTGTGCAGCCCGCCCCATCAGGGACTTCCTGACATAGTATTTCTGCAAAAATCACCAAAAAAAAACCCAAAAAAGCTTTATTTCCAAGTCCTATCCTGTTTAGCTCCTGTCTGTGCACACCTGGGAGGGGTTCTCCCTACAGCTGCAGCCCCAAACCTGGGGTGGCCTCTCCATCTCCCTCATGACTCTGGCCAGCATTGTAGTAGGCCTTGCATAGCCTGCCCCATTGGGGACTTCCTGGTGTAGTATTTCTGCAAAAATCACCAAAAAACCGCCAAAATGTGCTTCATTTCCTGTTTAGCCCCTGGGAAGGGTTCTCCCTACAGCTGCAGCCCCACAGCTGGGGTGAAGTCTCCATCTCCCTCCTGACTCTGCCAGCAGATGCATACATGTGACATGGGGTGTGCACACCTGGGAGGGGTTCTCCCTACAGCTGCAGCCCCAAACCTGGGGTGGCCTCTCCATCTCCCTCATGACTCTGGCCAGCATTGTAGTAGGCCTTGCATAGCCTGCCCCATTGGGGACTTCCTGGTGTAGTATTTCTGCAAAAATCACCAAAAAACCGCCAAAATGTGCTTCATTTCCTGTTTAGCCCCTGGGAAGGGTTCTCCCTACAGCTGCAGCCCCACAGCTGGGGTGAAGTCTCCATCTCCCTCCTGGCTCTGGCCAGCAGGTGCATAGATGTGACACGGGAAGGACTGAGAGCAGCCCTGGGAGGAGGATTTGGGGTGATGGGTGACCAAAAACTCAACGTGCCCTGGCCCTGTGTGTTCACAGCCCAGAAACCACCCCTGTCCTGGGCTGCATCCAAGGAACATGGGCAGCAGATCAAGGAAAGGGATTCTTCCTCTCTGCTCTGCTCTTCTGAAGGTGCTGTGTCCAGTTCCAGGGCCCCCAGTGTAAGAAGGACATGGAAATGCTGGAGCAGCTCCAGAGGAGACCACGAAGTTGCTGAGGGGACTGGAGCCAGGCTGGGAATGTCCAGCCTGGAGAAGCGAAGGTTGTGTGGAGATCTGAGACCTTGCAAGGCCTGAAGGGGCTCCAGGGAAGCTGGAGAGGGACTGCTCATCAGGAACTGGAGTGACAGGACAAGGGGAATGGGTTCAGACTGAAAAAGAGAGAATTTAGGATGGATATAATGGGGGAAATTCTTCCCTGTGAGAGTGGGCAGGCCCTGGCACAGGTGCCCAGAGCAGCTGGGGCTACCCCTGGATCCCTGGAAGGGCTCCAGGCCAGCCTGGACACGGCTTGGAGCAGCCTGGGGCAGTGGAAGGTGTCCCTGCCATGGCAGGGGGTGGATTGGGATGAGCTTTAAGGTCCCTTCCAGCCCAAACCATTCCATGATTCTGTGACTCCACTGAAAAACAGGGTATCCCTTCCAAAAAGAATGAGAATTTCTTTAGATCAGCTATTCCTGAGTGTCCTTGACCTCCTCTGTGACCTAAGGCATTTCTCATGATTTGCTACTGAGGCCTCATCAGGAATGGATCAGCACAAGTTCTCTTCCTCCAGAATAAATTTATTCTTATATTCCTGTAAGACCATTAAAGGAGGGCACAGAGAAATACACAGGGAAATACTGAGAAAGAAACAGAGAAAAATTAACCCTTCATGGAACTGAACCTAATTCAAGGAAGCGTCACCAATCCCAAAAGATACAAATTCTAAATACAAATACAAAAAAAGCCCCTGAGGAGCTGCTGTAGTAAGGAGCAGCTGTAAGAAGCAGCTTTCAGGCCAGACAGAGCCTCACCTCTGCATTCCTGAAGACCTTCAGCATGTCCCCATCAAAAGCTTCCACAGTTTTGTAGTAACCAGTCAGGATCTGCTTCTCAATCGTGGCGAGGTCCAAGGGGTCAGAGATCTTTTCGTAATAGTCTGCATTTCTACAACAGGAATGTTGGCACAATGTCAGGCTCAGCAGCAATTCCCACTGTGCAGATCCATCAGAGAAAGCAGCTCTGGGAAGGCAGAACTTACTTTTTCTTTGGGGGCAGGTTCAGGAGAGGAGCTGCCAGCGCCTGCCTGGAGGAGTCTGCAACAGGAACAGAGCTTAGTGACATCACTGGAGTGAAACTTCCAAAGAAAAGTAAATTACAACATTCAATCTGGGTTAAAACAAGGCTTTTCTGTTACGAGGGGAATTGAAATGCTTCTGCATTTCTAGATGTCAGTGCCTGTAACTGCAGTACAGGTGGAACAAGGATAACAATTTCTGATTTTTTCTGGAATTTTGAAAAATCAACATCTGCAGATTCTGGTGATAAAGCAGGGGGTTGAGGCTAAAGCAAAGTGATTATTGGTAAGGGAAGAAATTTTAAAAAACAGGAGTTATTTAACCCCCTGTATTTTTCCAGCATTTCCTATTCACAGAGCCCATTTCCAGAGGCTGAAAACACACCCACAGAGACGTTTTTAAAGAGAATCACCTTCACCTTTGTAGGCTATGATGCTGTCACATATCTCCTTGAAGATCTGAGCCAGGCGGGCGGCACGAGCCACCTCCAGGTTCTCCTCGGCCGCCGCCAAGCGCCGCGTCCGCACCGAGCGCGACGTCTGCAGCGCCGAGAACTGGGTCATGAACACATCTGAGAGAGCACGACAGGGTCACCTCCACACTGCACACACGCGGCACAGCGCTGGCTTTTTGCAAATATTAGAACGGCTTCTCTATGTGCAGTGTTAAAGTAACTTTGTTGTAGAGATACGGCTTTTATTTCTGTCGTTAATTAAGGTTAGACATAGCAGTGAAATAGCTGATATGTGTTATACATACACATAATAATACTGGCTTTATGCAAATATTAGAACGGGTTCTCTATGTGCAGTGTTAAAGTAACTTTGTTGTACAGACACGGTTTTTATTTCTGTCTTTAATTAAGGTAAGACATAGTAGTGAAATAGCTGATATGTGTTATAGATACACATTATAATACTGGCTTTTTGTAAATAATAAAATGGATTTTATATGTGTGGTGGTAAAGTAACTTTGTTGTACAGACACGGTTTTTATTTCTGTCTTTAATTAAGGTAAGACATAGTAGTGAAATAGCTGATATAAGTGAAATAGCTGATAGAAGTATGTGTTATAGATACATTATAATACTGGCTTTTTGTAAATATTAAAATGGATTCTATATGTGTGGTGTTAAAGTAACTTTGTTATAAAGATACAGTTTTTATTTCTGTTGTTAATTAAGGTTAGACATCGTAGTGAAATAGCTGATATAAGTGAAATAGCTGATAGAAGTATGTGTTATAGATACATTATAATACTGGCTTTTTGTAAATATTAAAATGGATTCTATATGTGTGGTGTTAAAGTAACTTTGTTATAAAGATACAGTTTTTATTTCTGTTGTTAATTAAGGTTAGACATCGTAGTGAAATAGCTGATATAAGTGAAATAGCTGATAGAAGTATGTGTTATAGATACATTATAATACTGGCTTTTTGTAAATATTAAAATGGATTCTATATGTGTGGTGTTAAAGTAACTTTGTTATAAAGATACAGTTTTTATTTCTGTTGTTAATTAAGGTTAGACATCGTAGTGAAATAGCTGATATAAGTGAAATAGCTGATATGTGTTGTAGATCCATATTATAATATTGGCTTTTTGCAACTTTTTATTACTAAAAAGGGTTTTATATGTGTGATGTTAAAGTAACTTTGTTATAAAGTTATAGTTAATATAGGTTTTATTTCTATTATAGTTAATACAGGTTTTACTTCTGTTGTTAATTAAGTGCAGACATAATAGTGAAACATAGCTGCTACGTGTTATAGATACACATAATAATACTTGCTTTTTGCAAATATTAAAATGGGTTCTGTATGTGTGATGTTAAAGTAACTTTGTTATACAGTTTTCGTTGCTGTCGTTAATTAAGGTTAGACATAGCAGTGAAATATAGCTGATACAAGTGAAATAGCTGATATGTGTTATAGATACACATTATAACACTGGCTTTTTGTAAATATTAAAATGGCTTTTATATCTGTGGTGTTAAAGTGACTTCGTTATAAATATATGTTTTTTATTCTTGTCCTTAATTAAGCTTACAGATAGTAGTGAAATATAGCTGATATAAGTGAAATAGCTGATATGCGTTATAGATACACATTATAACACTGGCTTTTTGTAAATATTAAAATGGTTTTTATATCTGTGGTGTTAAAGTGACTTCGTTATAAATATATGTTTTTTATTTCTGTCCTTAATTAAGCTTACATAGCAGTGAAATATAGCTGATACAAGTGAAATAGCTGATATGTGTTATAGATACACATTATAGTTCTGGCTTTTTGTAAATATTAAAATGGATTCTATATGTGTGGTGTTAAAGTGACTTTGTTATAAAGATACAGTTTTTATTTCTGTTGTTAATTAAGCTTAGACATATTAGTGAAATAGCTGATATAAGTGAAATAGCTGATATGTGTTGTAGATCCATATTATAATATTGGCTTTTTGCAACTTTTTATTATTAAAATGGATTTTATATGTGTGGTGTTAAAGTAACTTTGTTATATAGTTTTTATTTCTGTTGTTAATTAAGTTTAGATATAATACTAAAATAGCTGATATAACTACGTGTTACAGATTCACATAATAATACTGGCTTTTCACAAATATTAAAATGGATTTTATATGTGTGGCGGTAAAGTAACATTGTTGTAAAGATATGGCTTTTATTTCTGTCCTTAATTAAGCTTACAGATAGTAGTGAAATATAGCTGATATAAGTGAAATAGCTGATATGCGTTATAGATACACATTATAACACTGGCTTTTTGTAAATATTAAAATGGTTTTTATATCTGTGGTGTTAAAGTGACTTCGTTATAAATATATGTTTTTTATTTCTGTCCTTAATTAAGCTTACACATAGTAGTGAAATATATCTGATATGTGTTATAGGTACATATTATGATATTGGCATTTCACTAATATTAAAATTGGTGAGTTCACTGCATGGCTGATAAAATTCCATCATCCCATTGGGAGATGTTCCACCCAGGGGAGGAGCCAGGCATTCCTACCTGGATACAATCTCCCTGCTCCAGCAGAAGCACAGCTGGCACTGCAGGAGGGCTGAGCCCCCATGGGATGGGGCTGTACCACCACCCTGACCCACAGGGTTCAGCTCCTGTTCTCACTCTGGCAGTGGGTTGTACTATTACATTTGTATTTTTATTTTGCCATTCCCATTCCGGCAGTGGGTTTTGTTTGTTTGTACTATTACATTTGTATTTTTATTTTGTCATTCCTATACCCCTATCTTTGCCCGAGAGCCTCTTAATTTCAAAATTACATTAATTCAGAGGGAAGGCTTTACATTTTCCATTTCTGCCTTCCTCAGCAGACACCTGCCTTGTAAAACCAAGACAAATGCACACCAACATTGCAAGTCACTCATTCCAAGAGTGGACTGACAGAGTTTAACCCCTTGTGTCCCGGGTGGCTGAGTGGCCTCACCTGATTTGATGTTGCCGTCGTCACGGCAGATCCCGTTCCAGCGCGTGTACAGCGACGAGCTGTGCATGCTGTCACTGACGTGCTTCACCTCCTCCTGCTTCTGCCTGATCTTCTCCCAGTTCCGCACCAAGAACACGTGGTGTTTCAGCACAAAATTCCTGCAGGGATTAGGCAGCTAGTCAAGAAGCTCTTTTTACTGGAAAATTTATTTTTTAACATAGGGGAAAAGATGGATATTCAGAGGTGTAATCTGTGTCTCCTCTGTGGAGGGGAATCCCAGCCTGGCTGCTCAAGCAGAAAGCTGCTTTTCACTGAAAAATTCATTCTTTAACATAGGGAAAAGCTGGATATTCAGTGGTGTAATCTGCGTCTCCTCTGTGGAGGGGAATTCCAGCCTGGCTGCTCAAGGAGAACTAAAGATGCTTTCTATTGGAAAATTCATTCTTTAATGTAGGGAAAAGCTGGATATTCAGAGGAGTAATCTGTGCCTTCTCTCCTCAGTGGAGAGGAATTCCAGCCTGGCTGCTCAAGGAGAACTAAAAGATGCATCCTCAGCAATTTCAGGATGCCCCATCTTCTAGAAGAATACATCAGTATTTGCCAGAACTCCATTTCTGAGGCAAATCCCCCTGAAATCAGCCCTCACCTTTCCCTGTTGGACATGGGCTTCATCTGCAGCTGAGGTGTCAGCCTGGTTGGGGCATTCACACTTTCACTGGGTTCCTCAGGGATGTGGCCCCTCTGGAAAACAAGATTTTTCTGATAGACAGGAAAAACAGTGCCAAGAACTCAGCAAAGCAGTCCCTGAGACAGAACCTGCAGCATTACTCTACTGTATTTCTGTTTCAAGTTTGGGTTTCAAGTTTAAAATTTACAGAACCACCAGTTTTTGGTCTGGTGGCACAGACTGATTTCCCATCAACCTCACCCACCCAAACTCTGTCTTTCCTACTTACTCTCTTCTTTAGTTTGTGCTTTGACTTCCTCTTCTCTTTCGACCTCCCAGGTCTTCTGTGGGTGCTCACAGGCTGGTTGCTTTTGCTTGAGAGTCCATTCATGCGTTGACTTTTACCCCCAATTATTCCTCTGCATTTGTCAAAGCCACATTTGCAGAGTTGCTTTGAGGAAAAAGAAAACATCCAATAAACCCCAAAGGCCTAGATTCTCTCTCAATATTACAAAGAACATTTTCTTCCTAATACAACACGACAGGTTTTGTTAATTTTTACACTTTATGGAACTGTTAGGGCTTAGTGAGATTTTTCAAGGTCTCACAGTGGGGTTTTTACCTGTTTTTCAACATTAAATGAGTGGAAGTTGTAGTCATAGGTGAGCTCAGTCCCAGCAGGCATGTCCTTCAGTGCATACAGCCCAATCCTATACACACCATTCACAGACCTGAGGGCAAAATACAATTAAATATCCCAAAAATTCAACATAAAATCATCTTTGTGCACGGTGTGGCAGTGTTAGAGACAGGCAGCAACACCTCTGCTGTGTCCTGACTTATGCTAAAAGGAGTTTTTAGCAGTTCTTTTATTTATCTCTTACAATAAACTTTGAAAGCTAAAAAGTGAACAGCACATTTAACAAGAGTAGTAATGCCAAGGTGTCCCTACCCTCACAGGGAACATTTCCTTCCCAATATTCCATCTAAGCTGGCAGTGGGAAGACATTGCCCCTTGCTCTGTCACTCCAGGCCCTTGTAAATGATCTCTCTCCTTCTTTCCTGCAGCTCCTTCAGGTACCAGAAGGACACAATCAGGTCACTTGGAGCTTCTCTTCTCCAGGCTGAGAAACCCCAACTCTCTCAGCCTTTCCTCACAGCAGAGCTGCTTCTTCCCTCTGATTAATTTGGTGCCTTCTCCAGACCCACTCCAGCAGCTCCACGTCCTGTGCTGGGACCCCAGCTCTGCAGGAGGGGTCTCACCTGGGCAGGGCAGAATCCTCTCTGTCTCTTCAACTATTTCATTTAGAGTTGGATTTTCAAATGTAAAACTTTACTATTGCTTAAATCTAGAATTATCTGAGAACCACAAGCTACTCTGATGTACAGCGACTCCTGTTCCACCATCTGCAAATCAGTCACTACAAATCCCTCAGCAGTGCTGGTATTTTGGCCCCTGATTGGCCAATAAGTTAAAACCATTCCCCTGTTGGACAAACAATCTCCAAACCACATTCCAAAGCAGCAAAACACAGGAGAAGCAAAGGAGATAATATTGTTTTCCTTTTTCTCTGAGGCTTCTCAGCTTCCCAGGAGAGAAATCCTGGGCAAGGGATTTTTCCAGAAAATATGATGGTGACAATATTACACTAACACTATACTGTATTAACGAGATACTATACTAAAAAAGATACTAAAGAGATACTATACTAAAGAGAGACTAAAGAAAAACCCATGACTATCTGAGACAGTCACCACACAGCTTTGACCCAATAGGCAAATCAATCCAAACAACCATCACCAGATGTGTCTAATTAACAAATCACTTTTGGTAAACAATCTCCATAACATATTCCACATGTGCCAAACAACAAGCGCAGCAAGTAGACACAAGAATTGCTCTTCTCTGAAATTCTCACTGCCTTCTCCAGGAAAAATCCTGGGAGAGAGAATTACGACTCTGTTCAGAAAATGTGAATACCACAACTCCCCTCCCTATTTTTAGGTCTGACTCCCTCAGCTGAACTGGTTCTCTGTCTCTCTGGGTGCTGCAGGGGGCAGAAGCCCTCTCCTCACCATTTCTGCATCTCACAGTTGGGGTTGCAGCTGTGGTTGATGAAGCGAGCCTCGTTGCCCATGCGGTAGCTGTCGATGACCATGCCGCTGTCCAGGTTCAGGCAGTAATGGTCACTGTGGTTGTGGTACTGCTCAATCATCCTGTTCCTGCGGGCAACAAAGGGTTAACCTTGTCATTCTGCCTGTCCCCACACAGCACACAGGGAGTGGCACAGGGAGAGCACATCTCAGAGAGGGTTTTTGTCTTGGCTTGGAAATGGGGGTGCGTGTTCTATTCCTATTTGTGGGGCAGTTCTCTTAATCTCTTCCACAAACAATCCTCCCTCCCAGAGATATCTTCTGTTCATGAGCCATTAATTATTAATTATCTTCTGTCCATGGGCCACTGAGTGTCCCTGCATGGCTGATAAAATTCGATCATCCCCCTGGGAGGAGCCAAGCATTCGTACCTGGATACAATCGGGGTTTGGGACACCCCAGCAGCCTTTGCCCACTGCACTCCGAGAGGAGCAGCTTTCTCCTGCCCACTGCATTCCCAGAGGAGCAGCTTTCTCCTGCCCTGCATTCCCAAACGAACACCAGGCCCATCTCCAGCAGCCCTGGAGCTCCAGAGGAAAACTCCAGCCTTGTGCAGGATCCCTGCTCCAGCAGAAGCACAGCTGGCACTGCAGGAGAGCTGAGCCACCATGGGATGGGGCTGTACCACCCACGGGGGTCAGCTTCTGCTCTCACTCTGGCAGTGTTATTTTGTATTACTGCATTGTTTATTTTATTTTTTTAAAAATTTTCTTCTCTAGTAAAGAACTGTTATTTCTGGGCCCATATGTTTGCCTGAGAGCCCCTTAATTTCAAAATTATAACAATTCAGAGGGAGCGCATTCCCATTTTCCATTTCAGGGGAGGATCCTGCCTTCCTCAGCAGACATGTACTTTGCCAAAACAAGACAGTTTTGAAGAAAATGCAATGATAATCTTTAACATTTTATAGAGCCCTCCACCTAGAGCTGGAGGAAAACCATTATTGTGCCTATTTTTATAAGTCCAGGCCACTGACAGAGCTTGGGTTAGAATTTAGAAATTTGCTCTTCTGGAATGCTCCCTTTTGGGTTCTGCAGATTATTTGTACACATTTCATGGATGGAGGAGAAAATGCAAGTGTACATTCCTTGGGGTGTCTGTGCATGCACTTGTACACAAGCAGCTTCCTCCTGGGGAGTGGGCAGGTTCTGGAATCATCCATGGACCACGAGAGCACAGGGACAGGAGTCAGAGCTTATCTTTGCATGAGGAGAGTGCAGCTGCCTTCTGTGGAGCTCTGGGAGCAGCCAGTCCCTCCAACCTCACACATGCCACAGAGCTAACAGATAATTTCTGCCTTTCAATGTTTCCACTTCTTCACTTGTTTCCACTTGTCCCCTCCAGCCCCATTCTGCCCCTCAGTTCCACCTGGTTCTCATCCCAAATCCTGCAGAGTTCTCATTTCAGATCCACTCGCTGCATATTGCATTTATAGTTCCACCTGGTTCTCATCCCAAATCCTGCAGAGCTCTCATTTCCGATCCAGTCACTTGTTGCATTTTGCATTTACAGGGCAGAGGATCCATTTCAAACATGAATCACCCCCCAATACTGGATCGGAAAAACCTGGTTAACCAAAACCCCCAGAATTCTAAACCTTCCCTTTCCCCCCTCATCCTCCCCTTTGTTCCTGCCTGAGGATATCCCAACCACGACCAATTAGAATTTCCCAATCTAAGGAAAACATGCATGACCTAGAGTAGAATTTACAATTACTATAAAATATGTAATTATACTATAAAATAAATATATAAAAACCCCACAAATATATATAAAAATATAAATAAAGATATACATATATAAAAATAAAAATATATATAAAAAGATATAAATATAAATATATATTATATATATATTAAAAATATGATACTATCAAATTGTAATTATGAGACCAATATTGCAAGTTACTCATTCCAAGGGCCTCTACACTGGATTTACACAGAGTTTAACTCTCCGTGTCCCTAAAGGTTATTTGTGAGCCTTCCATATTAAATGCATTTAGCATTTATAGGGCAGATGATGCATTTCAAATATTAACAATTAGAATTTCCCAATCTAATCAAGACATGCATGACGTAGAGTAGAATTTATAATTATTATAAAAGATGCAATTATACTATGAAATAAATATTTATATTAAAATATATAAAATATAAATATATATAAAATATAAATATATAAAAATATAAAAATATATATTTTAAAAATATATAATATATATAAAAAATATGATACTATCCAATATGTAATTACGAGACCAATACTGCAAGTTGCTCCTTGCAAGGGTCTCTGCACTGGATTTACACAGAGTTTACCAAGCTACACCACGCTCCACTCTCGGTGTCCCCAAAGGCACCGGGGACCCTCCCACGCTGCAGCAGCAGCAGCAGCACGCTGGTACCTGAACTCCTGCTCGCTCACAACTTCGCCCAGGTACTCGATGATGAACTGGCCGGCCTTGAGGGGCTCCTTGGTGCGGATGCCCCAGCCCTTCTCCTCGGCGCGGAACCTCTCCAGGCACTGCACCCACTCGTGCCGCTGGATGCGCTGGTTGCAGCACTGCTCCCCGCAGGGACACGTGTTGGGGGAGCACTCGGCGAAGATCATCCTGCAAGAGAAACGGCGTGAGCTCAGGGAGGGGCCCGCGGGAGCGGCCGTGCGCACGGCGGAATCACACATACAGAAAGAGAAAATGAGTACGAGATGAAATAATACATAAAATAAATGGTAAATGGAGATGTGAAATCAGATATAAATATAGGAATCATCACATAAATAATGTACAAAATAATTCAGATATATAAATAAATACTTATATACTTATATAAATATTATATAGTATTATAAATAATATATGAAATATATAACTATAGAAATGTTATACATATTATTATATATTATAAATTATAAATTATATATAAAGATATATAAAATATAAAAATATATAAATATTTCTATATAAATATACAATATCTATATAATTATAAATAAATATATAAAATATATATATATAAACATAAAATTATATTAAATAGATATGTAAATGATAAATATATAAATACAATAAATATAATAAATATATAAATATAATGTAAAGTATAGAATAAATAAAAATATAAAATTATATATAATTAGATATAACTATAAATATTTATTTTAATATAAATATGTAGATATAAAAATAATTTATAAATATAAAATAAGAAAAGAAATAGTAAATAAAATAATAAAATAAAAAGTGAATGGATATATGAAATAAAGACGTAAATATATAAATCATTACATAAATAATACATAAAATAAGTTATATATAAAATATATAAAAATACATAAAATTAAATACAATATTTCTATAATTATAAATATATAAATATATAAATATAAACCATTTCTATAAAATATATATTTATATATAAATATAAAATAATCTATAAATATGTAATATATAAAAGTATATATAATTATATAAAATTATAAATATATTTTATAGAAATATAAAAGTAATTTATAAATAGATAATATATGAATATAAAATTAGAATTATATATGATTATAAATATATATTTTAGAGATGTATAGACACATAAATATAAAAATGTATATAAACTATATATCTAATGATTTCTATTGATATATAAATCAATAATAAATCAATATAAAAATCAATTTATAAATCAATATAAAATCAGTACTACATACATTATGTCCATATGACTCAATAACAAATCAATACACAAAGAAATAAATCAATTACAATAAAAGCAGTTATTCAGACACTAAAATGCTGCTTGTTTTTAAGGTGTAATCCCTTAAATTAAATCCTGACACAGTGATCCCTGCCCAGCCCAGGGCTGTTCAATGGGGATTTTTTACTGGGATTTTCCTGGGAGAAAGGGGCAGGGCAGGGCTGCTACAGCTGCAGCTCCTGCTGGCCGTGCCCCTGCCATGGGGACACACCTGGCACTGCCCCTCTGCCTGCCCAAGGCACAGTGTCCCCAGAGTGTCCCCAGAGCGTGGGGCACAGCCCAAGGGGGACACAGCCGGGGGGGACACAGCCAGGGGGGGACAGAGCACAGGAGGGGACAGAGCACAGGAGGGGACATGAGCACAGGGGGGACACAGCCCAGGAAGGGACACAGCACAGGAGGGGGACACAGCACAGGGGGGACACAGCCCAGGAAGGGACACAGCACAGGATGGGGACACAGCACAGGAGGGGACAGAGCACAGGGGGGACAGGAGCCCGGGGGGACACAGCCCAGGGGGGTACACGAGCACAGGGGGGTGACACAAGCACAGGGGGGGACACAGCCATGGGGGAGGACATGAGCACAGGAGGGGACATGAGCACAGGGGGGGACAGGAGCACAGAGGGGGGACACAGCACAGGGGGGACACAGTCCAGGGTGGGACAGGAGCACAGGGCGGGACACAGCCCAGGGGGGACACAGCCCAGGAGGGGACAGAGCACAGGGGGGACAGGAGCACAGGGTGGGGACAGAGCACAGGGCGGGACACAGCCCAGGAGGGGACAGAGCAAAGGGGGGACAGGAGCACAGGGTGGGGACACAGCCCAGGAGGGGACACAGCCCAGGAGGGGACAGAGCAAAGGGGGGACAGGAGCACAGGGTGGGGACACAGCCCAGGAGGGGACACAGCCCAGGGGGGACACAGCCCAGGGTGGGACAGGAGCACAGGGCGGGACACAGCACAGGATGGGGACACAGCACAGGGTGGACACAAGCACAGAGGTGGGACACAGCCCAGGAGGGGACACAGCCCAGGAGGGGGACAGGAGCACAGGGGGGACAGGAGCACAGGATGGGGACACAGCTCAGGAGGGGACCTGGAGCTGCTCTTGTGTCTGCTCCACCACCCCAGGGCCAGAAGGAGCCAGAGCCTGGGGCTGAGCTGGGAGGGCACTGCTCTGACTGGGAGCAACTGGGAGTGGTGGGGGGGCCAGCAGTGACAATGTGGGGGAGCCAGAGCTGCTCCAGGAGGGTCCAACTGGGAATCTGCCTCCCTGTGCTGATGCCTCTGCTGCTGGGCTGCACCCAGCACGAGTCTGCTCCCAGGAGATGATGAGAAATAATCCATTTCTAACCTGTTCAGGCAATCCTCCACACAGCCCTTCCCACTGTCATCCTCTGGCTTCTTACAATTGCAGGTGGTGGCCTCGTAGCCAGAGAGAGGTTTGACATCCACATAGACATCTGGAGGGGAAAAAAAAATTTAAAAAAAAAAGAAAAAACCAAACCCAAACAGGGAAAAGAATTCTTTTCAGGTGAAAAAACCAGAACTGTTTATCGACAGTATTTTCATTCCAATCAGTAAAGAAAAAGAAAGCAGGTGGAAGTGTCTTTGGTAGGACAAAGCAGGACAGAAAGGAGGGTGTCACATGAAAATTCCACAGTTTAGTAATAAGATTTTACTTACTGGAACGGATTTTTTTATAAAGTGGGACATCTGGCTTTTTATACAACTAAAAGGAAGAGAAAGAAAATTTTAATACATTGCATAAGTGCATCTGTTATTCAAAAGGATCAGGGAAATGTTGTTCTGTACATAGGCAACTGTTCTGTAATCATTACTAGAAATCTGTGCTCTCTTCTCTAGGCTCAGACTGCATTAACAAACAGGTCCCAAAAAGGACCTGAATAAGTAGAATTTGGGCTTGCTGAGACAGTGGAGCAGTTTGTTCACACATGATTTATTCTGTGTGCCCAGAGCAATGTGGCAAACAGCTGTCCTGAGGACAGGCTCCTCTGAACAGGGCTTAGAAGAACAGGAATTCTTTATACCTACTTTGGAGAAACCATCTTTGGTGGAATCACCATGTGCCAATGCTTAAAAAAGTGAAAACAAAAAAATCCAGGTGCTGATTTATCCAAGTGACTCGATGACTTAAGGGTTTTTTTGGATTCTAGAGGATTCTGGGACTCTCTAAGAGCTGTGAGTACAGGTGGGAGCCAGGAGAAATGCAGATTCATCTTCTCTGCAGATGGAGATGATGGGAAGGGAAAGGGGAGCTTACAACTCATGATTTCATATATATTCCAGCCTGTCAAACAAGCTCTAAGGAATATTTTCCAATTATTCTCTATTTCACACACATTTCCTGCACTAAGAACCTTCCCTCAGTGACCCACAGGAACAACCCAGACATCTCCACACCCTGTACAGAGAAATTCCTCTGCAAGGGCCTCCAGTATTCCAGGGAGAGCTGGAGAATGTCAAGAAAACAGATTCCATGTATTTATTACTTATAAAATACTGAACAGATGAGACAGGCCATTGTTAATATATGCAAGAAAGAGTCCTGGAGATGTCCCCAGTGCTCCTGACTTGAGGATCAGATTGCAGGGGTGCTGGAGTGCAGCTGGAGCCACAGCACCTGGGAATGTGCCCTGCTCATTTCCACATCTGAGGGGAGATTCTCCCTTAAATCCTGTGTAAATCACTCGGTGAAAACATCTCAGCAATAAAAAAAATCCTATTTTTAAGCCTGCACATATTTAAAGCTCTTTAAAAAAGAACGAGACTGTTAAAACAGTTTCTCTTCTTTCCTCAGTATGAAAATTTCAGCTTGCAAGTGAAAAATAAATTCCACTCTGCTGGGATTGATCCAAGAAAAATAAAGCCTGAAATTTCTCAGTGCTGCTGGCAGTACATCCCAATTCTCCCGAGGCGTGTCTGAAACCAGCTCCCCACACAGACTGCCAAAATAAAAGTCTGCAGCCAAATTAATGACTTTTGTCAGAGCAGAAACTCACAGCATTGCTATTTTGCAGGAGATGGAAAAATGGGAATTTTCAACATTAAACACACATGCAAATCCCTTCTCACAGCTGGGATGTGTGAACGGGCTCTCTCTGAGTGCTGCTCCTTCTGATCCCAATCCTGGCAACCCCCTGAGTGCTGCTGCTCCTTCTGATCCCAATTTTGGCAAGCCCAGGGACATTTTATCTCCTACCTGGTTGTGTTTCCACTGCCAGAGGATGTCGTAAGGCAGCTGGAAGTCGATTCTCTTCTGTCTGAGGTACTTCCCTGAAAGCACAACAAGGTTTTAAGGGGCACACGCTCACACACTCGTCCTGAGAGAGCGGGAGCTGCTCCCAGGCTCTGGCAGGGCTCAAAGGAGAGGGCAGAAGGCTCAGAGAACATTCTGGAAGTCAGGGCAGGCCCAGGGAACCCCCCAGGACACAGAACTGGGTCCTGCTCAGAGGGGCCCCCGTGGGCAGTGAGGGGTGGGAGGAGTTGGGTCAGACCCTGCCATGGCAACCCTGGACAGCACTGACCACACCTGGGACGGGTGACCACAGCACTGACCACAGCACCTGACAGCACTGACCACAGCACTGACCACACCTGGGATGGGTGACCACAGCACTGACCACAGCTGGGACGGGTGACCACAGCACCAGACAGAACTGACCACACCTGAAACAAGTGACCACAACACCAGGCAGGACTGACCACAGCCATGTGAAAGCACCACAGCCAACCCTGGACAGAACTGACCACAGCACTTGACAGGACTGACCACAACGCTGTGAGGGTACCACAGCCAAGACCTGACAGGACTGACCCCAACACTTATCAGGACTGACCCCAACACTTATCAGGACAGACCACAGCACCTGACAGGACTGACCACACCTGAAACAACTGACCACAACCCTGTGAGAAGGTACCACAGCCAACCCTGGACAGAACTGACCACAGCACCCAACAGGACTGACCGTGACCCATGACACAACTGATCCCAACACCTGAAACAACTGACCACAACACCTGACAGTTTTGACCCCAACACCCAACAGGACTGACCGTGACCCATGACACAACTGATCCCAACACCTGAAACAACTGACCACAACACCTGACAGGACTGACCCCAACACCCATCAGGACTGGCCTCAACACCTATCAGGACTGACCCCAACACCCATCAGAACTGACCCCAACACCCATCTGGACTGACCACAGCCCTGTCCTCCAAGCTGACACGTTCTGAGTTTTCCTGTGCACAACCCAAGACTTTAACACCCAGGACAAGACCTGCCCTGCCCATGCAGGCTGGTAAATCACAATATTGTACTCAAAGAAATCAAATCAGTTCTGAAAAGAGTCTCCAGCCTGTTCCCGTGACCTTTACCAGAAGAGATTTAAGAATGAATTCAGACTTGGCAAATACATTCCTAGATTTTTTGGAAAGGCTTCAAGGGGATCTGTATTTTCAGCAATAACTGGAACTCGTTTTAGACAGGAGTTCCTGCTTTCCCTGCAGATTTTGGCTCCATTCTTTCATTCCCTGTCACCCCTAAAGGACACAGACCCATTACATCATTCACACCAGTCCCAAGGGCTGACACTGCTTGGTTCCAGCCAACATTCAACATTCTCTGATCATTTTGCTGGAATCCTGTGTCACAAAACTGCAGGGAGCACAGTGCCTAGGATGAGGTGTCAGGCCCAAGCTGATTTTTTCCCCCCAGCTTTTCTAACTGTTAACAAATGCCTTTATATTCCTCCAGCAATGCTCTGCGGGTTCATATAAATTCACATGCATACCCTCACCACTGGAAAATAAAAATGGTAATGTTTTCCTTACAATTTACCCCTAAATTACTTTCCATTTTCAATGCCTTATTCATCCCTAGCAGGTTCCAGGAAAGAGCTAAATCTGCTGGGAATTTGCTTTCACTTCTATGACCTCAGCAGGCCGAACAAAAGGCTCTTTCAGGTGCCCTGGCACCGTGCCCCCAGCACAGGGAAGGTGCCCCCAGCCCTCCCTGAGTGGCACCAGTGCAGTCCCCTGGCAGAAGCCCAGCCCTGGTCCCTGCTCTGGGGTTAAACCATCCCCAGGCACCCCAGCAGCTGCAGGGCAGGACCAACAATGTGGTTGTGAACCTGGAGAACCTGGTTTTATGAGCCCATTCAAAAAGGAGATGAGCAAGGGAACGTCTTGAAGAATTTAAATTGTCACCTTCAGCCCCGAAACCTGTTTTGTGGCTCCTGATTCTCACAGATCTGTCCAACTGCTCTGCCTTGCTGTGCAGGTGGAGCCAAAGAGTTCAGTCACAGCAGACAAAGCAGTGACAGCTTGTGTTTGATGGGACAAAGATTCCTGAATTCCACCAAACTGCTGGGCCTGACAGGACTTGCAGCAAGAATCACAGCACTTCAGAAGCTGAAACAATTACCTGAGAATCAGGAAATTACTCAATCCTACCAGGTTTAACCTGGGAAATGGTAAGAGCTGCCAACAGTGGAGCTCTGGACCATCCCCCCTGGCCCAGGAGCAGCATCCTGAGCTCCATCCCCCTGAGGGCCTGGGACAGACCTGGCTTATGAAGTGTTCAAGGCCAGGGACAGGGTTTGGAGCAACCTGGGCTATGGAATTCCATGGAACAGGGTGGAATAAGATGATCTGTAAGGTCCTTTCCCACCCAAACCATTCCATGATTCTGTGAAATCCTAAATCCCACTTTTTTCCTACCCGAGACCTAAAAATGGGGATGAAGTAAAACCAAAGATAACAGCAAAGCTTTTAACTCTTCCACCCTTTTATCCCTGTGTAAAGACAGACACCATGAAGTGCATGGGGACATGGGGGAATTTATCACTCCATGCTCAGCTTTTGGGATTTAAACTGTCATAATTGTCTGTGGCTATTCTGCTGTAATTTTACTTTGAGGTGGAGACTATTGCTCTGCATTTCATCCAAGGACTATCACAATTAAAGCAAATTTTCAATTAGAATGGTATGTTCTGACACCCCAAAAAATAAAGTGAGCAATGTTTTAAGCTAAAAAAAGCCTCTCAAGATAAACTGGGGAACACACACAGGGGGATGAGCTGGCAAAGTTCATGCGCCAAAAACCATGAGTGACCTGGCAAGGGCTAAAAACCAGAGAAAAGCAGAAGCTGAGCAGCCCCCCCAGTGCCACATTTGTCCCCCAACAATGAAAATACAGATGAGGTACCCACCAACGTGGATAGGGGCTGGGAAGAGCCCGTGCTCGTGCTCCCCTGGGGTGTATTCCAGCTTCTCCTTCTTCAGCTGGATCAGGCGGCTCTTGGGGCTGTGGAGGACAGGGACAGAACCAAAATGTCACAACGAGGATCATGTGGCACTTGCAAAAATGCATTTTCTGCTTTAGTTAAGGCACAAATGTCTGGAGCATCAGGGAAAAGAGGAATAATAAAAATGGCCAAAGAAGTGCTCTCCAGGCTGCCTGTCTAACACCAGCCCTCCCACAAGGGGGTTTTTCTCCATAAATGTTTTTTCTCCATAAACACCCACTGACTTTAAATGCCCTGCATGTGATATAAAAGTAATAACTAAAGCTCCACAAATAAAAGAGGACCAGCAGATTGTATCTGGGGGTTCTGCTGAGGAACTGGGCACGTGACACATGTACAGCCCTGCTCTCCTAAGAGCAAACATTCATCTGCTGCCCTTTAGGAGGTTGTTCATCAGGAAAGGCAGAAAAAAGAACAGAAATCAGAGTTAAAAAAGCAATGAGACACCCCTTTGAAGAAAGAAAAATAGGAGAATGGAATTAGAATGGTTGTATGGGTCAGGCAGGTGCCAGCTCTGTAATCTGGTGTTTATAAACATCTCCTCCTGGCCAACAACAAACCTTGGGAAATAGAATCTGATGTGGTTATATTTAGAACTGCAGTCCTGCAAGGAGACTTCTAAATGTTAAATATACCAACGATTAAATGATATTGAAGCCTACTGAAGTTTTTTAAGGGATTTATTTTAAGAACTGGACAAGCAACAGAAAGATGGCTGAATACAAAAAGTGATATTATTGTTTAGTTAAGGGAAAATGTAAGCTGAAAACAAATTTTGTGATACAGATATCAACAACTGGAAATACTTAGGAAGAAATTCTTCCCTGTGAGGGTGGGGAGGCCCTGGCACAGGGTGCCCAGAGCAGCTCATCCCAAAGCCAGTATCAGAGCAGGGAAGAACTCAGCACGTGGAGCAACAGGCAGAGGGAAGCCAAGGCAGCCCTGTGTGATTTGTGACTTCCCCCTGAAGAGCAGGGCAGGAGCAGCTCCAACCTCTGCTCTGTGTGAGCAGAACAGCACCCCAGGGAATGGCTATGGGAGGTTTAGGATGGATTTAGGAAAAGGTTTTTCCCTCAGAAGGGATGGCACTGCCCAGGCTCCCCAGGGAATGGGCACAGCCAGAGCTCCAGGAGGGTTTGGACACAGCTCAGGCATCAGGGTGGGGTTCTTGGGGCTGTGCACAGCCAGGAGCTGGACTCCACGATCTTTGTGGGCCCCTTCCAACTTAGGAACACTCAAAGTTCCAAATATTTACACTGAAGAAAAGGAGAAGACTCTCTCAGCTCCTCCTCTGTGGCAAGAGATGAAACTGTGAGATTTGAACTGTGTGCAGCAGTGACAGACCATCCAAGTGGCAAAGTTTAACACATCTCTTTAAAACAGATAAAACTCAAGTGGCCTCACTTTGCTCAGACTGAGATTTTTGTTTCTTCCTCAGTCTTGACCCTTTCACTGATTCCTTCACCACAGACAGAGATTGCAGCAGGAGCAGCTGATAAACTGCACTGGCATTTCCCAGTGGTCTCTGGAACAGTTTGAAGTGGTCTGTGACATAGTGAGAAGGTGCCAAATTTTGTCTCTTTTCAATCTGTCAGATGATATTGGAACAGAAGCACAAATTCCTGACTTCAGCTGATTTGTTCAGATTAGAAAACATGTGTGACTACAAGGGAGGTGTCCACATTCTAATGGACACCAGGCTGCAAAGCAACCAGTGGGAAAAATAAAGAAATGCTGGATTTTCTACCCTAAACATCTCAGAGAAAATAGAGATGAACTTCACTGAGCTGTGAAATGAACTGGGTGCATTGCTGAAATTCTTTCACACAGAAGATGGCCAGTTGTCACCACTCAGCCAGTGAAAACAGGGACCCCATGACCCCTTCTCTGCCACACTGTGCTCAAACCCTGCTCAGAACCTGCACACATCCAGCTCTCCCAGCACCTGCACTGCCAGGACTGTGTAGATCTTGAATAAATCTCTTACCTTCTTCAAAACTGATAACCAGAAACACTTGCAGACTGCTTTCTGACTGGGCTTACATTTTACATCCCCACTGGGTCAGTTCTGACAATTACCATCACAAAATTCTCCACAGGCTTCACTTAAGTTGATGGTTCTATTTCACCTCCTCATGAGTGGCAGCTCTTTATGGCTCTGGGTGAAAAGAGAGTTTTCCCTGGATTACCAGAGAGCAGCTTTGCTCTGTTTCACTCACTCTGTTGTTTTGTAGACATCAGAGTAGAGCCCAGCTTTCTGGTATTTCTTCTTTGGGGGTCGAGGGGCTTTCTTCTCACGCTGGGTTAGGGGAGGCAGAGGCTGCTCAGGGGTTTCAGGTTCAGGTGGTTTCCCAAGGGCCTCATGTGGACTGGGAGGTTCAGCTACTGTCTCAGAGAAACTGGAAGAAAAAGTAGAGATAAAAAAATCACCTTCCCATTAAGATCATCTCACAGTATTTCATTATTCCTCTCTTGAATCTGGTCAGCAGAAAAAGGCAATTTTTCTGAATTTCTGGGTGACTCAACTACTTAAAAAAATACTTAATGAGCATGATTGTCACATGCATCTTTTCTGAAAAATCCCTTTACCCAAGATGTTTCTCCTGAGAAGCTTCAGAGAAAAAAGAAAACAATATTTTCTCATTTGTTTCTCCTGTGTGTTGCTGCTTTGGAATGTGGTTGAAAATTATTTATCCAACAGGTGATTGTTTCATTAGTTTCATGTGAATTGTTTTGACTTATTAGCCAGTCAGGGTCAAGCTGTGTCAGACTCTGGAGAGAGAGTCACAAGTTTCATTATTATCTTTTTAACCTTCTGCAAATATCCTTTCTGTATTCTTTAATTTAGTTTAGTATTCTTTAATATCATATAGGATCATAAAATAAAAAATTAGCCTTCTGAAAACATGGAGTCAGATTCATCATTCCTCCCTGCCACAAACACAATACATGATCAAGTGGGGCTTAAGCACAATCATAAGAAAAGTATGATTCTTTTTGTGATATTATTATTACAAAAAGAATGTTGTTTGTACTGCTAATGTTTATCCTTGGAGCCTCAGCTGAGCAATTCAGAAGGCAGCTCTTGCTCTCTGCTTTAGCACTCCAAAACCAGCACGTGGTAACCCTTTCCTGAGCCTCCAGGAGAGCCACAGACAGCACACAGCACCCATTTCTGGAGAGGAAACTCCTGACAGAGTTTGTTTATTGATGGATTTGGGGATGAGTGTGAGATGTTGAGATCAGAGAGAGATTTTTGGTGTGTGCCTTTAGCAGTGACTGCACAGGTGCAGCCCTGAACTCCTCCTTGCTGCTGTAGCTTTATTCTTTATCTGCTGTACATCACCTGCCATCCTGTGCTGCCTGCATTTGTGAGCAGATCCCACGGCTCCCCAGGGCTCCTTATTCCACACAGGATGAAGGAACAACCTGTGGCACCTCACCAGTTACCAACTCCTTAAATACATCCTTCACCAGCACAAGTACAGAACCTGTACTGTTTTAGATCACTTCTCATTTTCTGGGCTGCTTTCAGTACCTGGGGAAGGACTGAACACACTCAGGGCTCACATGTTGGTGTGGCAGCAGCTCTCTGGTGACAGGGAGCAGGCACAGACTCTCCCAGGCGTTTTCCTGGGGAAGCTGTGAGAAAGCTCAGAGCAAGAATTAAAAGAATTCTCATCATCACTCACTACACCTGCTGCTAGACACATGTGGGATGTGTTAAGGAGATTTGTTCATCAAGGAGCAGTTTCTTCATTAGACACTACTAGTAGTGTTTTGGTTAGTTAACAAATTGGGTCAAAGCTGTATCAGACTGTCTAGAAGAAGTCATAAATTTCTTAAAAATATGGTATAATATAGTACAGAAGAATAAAACAATGCTCAGTGTTAATTATTACCTGGCTGGGGGCCTGCTCAGAGCAAGAATTAAAAGAATTCTCATCATCACTCACTACACCTGCTGCTAGACACATGTGGGATGTGTTAGGGAGATTTCTTTACCAAGGAGTAGTTTCTTCATTAGACACTAGTAGCAGTGGTTTGGTTAGTTAACAAATTGGGTCAAAGCTGTATCAGACTGTCTAGAAGAAGTCATAAGTTTCTTAAAAATGCAGTATTACATAGTGTAGCGTCACCATGATATTTTCTGAAAAATCCTTTTGCCAGGATTTTCTCCTGAGAAGCTGAGGAGCCTCAGGAGAGAAATGCAAACAATAATTATCTGCTGCTGTGGAATGCAACAGGTGCATCTTCCACTGCTCCACGTGGATTGTTTTCACTTGATGACCAGTCACAGCCACCTGTGTCGAGGCAGTGAGCAGCCACAAGATTTTGTTATCATTCCTTTTCTTTCCAGCCTTCTGATGGATCCTTTTCTCTCTATTCTTTTTAGTATAGTTTTAATGTAGCATTTTAATATAATATAGTACCATAATATAATAAATCAGCCTTCTGAAACATGGAGTCAAGACTCTCATCTCTTCCCTCATCCTGGCACCCTCAAACACAACCAGAGTACAGAAGAATAAAACAAGAGTCAATGGTAATTATTACCTGGCTGGGGCCTGCTACCACAAAGAGTAACCTGAGTAGACCACAGCTGGTTCCCTCTACACCGAGCTCCTTCCCAAAATCAAGCAGAAGTTCCCCTCAATGACTAAAACATTCTAAAACCAGCTGAGGTACAAAACTGCAAGAAAATCACCTCTTACTGCTCTCCTGCTCATCCTCGGGCAAAGACTTGTGCCTCTTCCTGGCCTGCTCCTCGGGCAGCCACCTCTTCCTCTTCCAGCCTTTGCGGTGCTCGGGGTCGAGGCTGACGCTCTGCACCACGGCTTCGATCACGTCGGTGATGGTGTCCGGCCCCAGCTGCAGGGGGCTGCTGCTCTGCTGCCTGTCCTGCAGCTCCTGGCTCACCATCCTGGCCGCCTGCAGGGCCTGCACGGACACCACGGCCTGCAGCGGGTACTTGCGCGGCCGCCCCGGCCGCCGCTTCACGAAGTTGTTCCCCGTCCTCGACTGCCTCTGCAGCTTTTTGGCTTTCAGGATTTTGTTGACGTGGTCCAGATTTTTTTTTGTCGCCAGGATTTTGTCGTAATTGCACATTTTCCTCGCTTGCCTCTGCATGGCCTCCACCACGCTCCTCTTGAGGCGCCCGGGCGAGTAGCCGCCGGGCGGGCGCTCCCGCAGCAGGGGGACGCCCTCGCCGCTGGCGTCCTGCGGGTCCTGCTTGCCCAGCGCCCGCTCCCGTGAGCGGCTGCGCGCGGGGCTGGACGACGGAGGGCCGCCCGCGGCGCCGTCCAGGCTCCTGTCCGGCGGGGCAGGCCCGTCCTGCTGGGCCACGCGCTGCAGCAGCGCGTCCGCCGCCGCCCCTGCAACACACAGAGCGCTGCGGTCGGTGCCCTGCGGGCTGGGCTGCGTGCTTCGCGCGCGCCTGGCAGCCCGCAAGCCTGGGGGGGATGCTAGTAATGTGGGAATGATGATATGATCGTATCATACAGCAATGGTAGCGTTTAGAGAATCTATAATGATGATATATCTGTAATAATATTATATAATATATAACATAATATATAATAAATAATATATTGTATACTGTATATCATATATCATATATATTGTATAGTGCATAGTATATAGTATATCACTATATATGATATAATGTAATCATATATAATAATGATATAATATATAATAATAGTGATATATAATAATAATAGTAATAGAATTCTCAGTGTATAACTCTAAACTCCATACACACTGCTAGCTACAGCTTTCCCATTTTGGGCAGACACAATTCCTCTCCAGACCTGGGAATCAAGGACACCTCTGCCTCAAGAAATGTAAAATAAAAGTGAGCTGGGGGGAGCAAACTGGGGGTAAATGACTTTATTACCTGAAGCTGTACCTTTCAGAGCACACAATTTGGAGGAGAAAGAGTCAGGAAAACATTTTAAAAATCCTCCTCTGGACAATGCTCTTGCTGGTGACACAGCACAAGAGCAGCCTCCTGCTGTGAGCTGGACACCCCAACAACTGCAAGACAGCTGGAAGGATTTACACTTCCAGCCCTGCATTTCAGATTAAATAATAAAGATAAATCCCCCTTTGTTTTCTCCTGGCCCTTCGAGGCACGTGGGGATGGAGCTGGGGCTCTCACCTGCTCAGGGAGCCTCAAGCAGCACCACATCCCACGGGAGCTGCTCCAAAGGGCTGGGGCCCTGCAGGCTCTGCTCTGGGACAGCTGCAGCTCCTCTCTGACAAACCCTGGAACCCACACACATTCCACAGGCAGGGAAACACAGCAAGCACTGATCTGCTCAGCTGCACCATCACCTCACTGGCTTTGAAGTTGATAAATTTGTGATTCATGTCATTCCAATGCTCCTGCTCGCTTTAACACTTCCTATTCCCACTTCCAACAACTGCAGCTGCCCCTTTTCAAGGGAGAGAGGGCAAGAAAGGGATTGAGACAGAGGAAAAAGGAAGATTCCTTTCCCACTGCAAAGGACTTTCTGCAGCACAGGCTGGATGGAGCATCTGTTGTAAACATCTGTTTAAAGCAGGGAGGAAATGGCACTTTTGGCACATCCTTCCCAGATGGAAACCATAGCTAGCTTCAAGTACCAATCCCAGGGATTTATTACATATTTGCAGTCAGTTTGGGAGTCTGAGAAATGTCTGAATTCTGGTAATGAGAGTGTTTCTGCAACGGAGCTTCTTACAAAATGGGTCAACCTGCTGGATTTTCTTCTGTCCAGTCCCAGGGGAGCTCCTGTTCCATTTTTACAGAATGACAGAACGGTTTGGGCTGAAAGAAACCTTAAAGACCATCTTGTTCCACCCAGGATTCTCACATGTGAGCTCCCAGGGAAGCTCACAGTCCATTTTTACAGAATCACAGCACGGTTTGGGTTGGAAGGGACCATTTCTGACCTGGCTTGGGGCATTCCCTAATGGTTGGGTGAGCCATGTGCCACCCTCCATCACCTGGGCAGGATTCTCACATTCCATTTTTACAGAATCACAACACCTTTGGGTTGGAAGGGACCATTTCTGACCTGGATTGAGGCATTCACTGATGGCTGGGATGAGCCATGTGCCACCCTCCATCACCTGGGCAGGATTCTCACATTCCATTTTTACAGAATCACAACACCTTTGGGTTGGAAGGGACCATTTCTGACCTGGCTTGGGGCATTCCCTGATGGTTGGGTGAGCCATGTGCCACCCTCCATCACCTTGGCAGGCTTCTCACACGTCAGCAAGAAAAGCCCACAGCACAGCCTGGCCTGATCCTCCTGTGACCTGCCCAGGGCCAAGAACCCTCTGCCTCCAGAGCAGGGCCAGAGTCAGGCTCTTGCCCAGGGAGGAATTAATTTATTCCTCTAATCCATGGATGAACTGTAATGTCACACATCTGGATTAAAGCCCTGAGCTCCACCAGGCCTAACTTAACCTGGTGAGACACCAAACCCAACCCTGCCACAGCTGTGCTGGTGCTTCTCTGAGCACCTCAAATCTCCCTGTTCTACAACCCAACCCACAGCCCTCGTACCCCAAAATGTCACTGAAAAACTGAGTGGAAAAACTCAGTATCACCATGAGCTGAAGCTCTCACAGCCCTGCTGTCCCAAAATATCAGTGGGAAAAGTCAGGATCACCAAGAGCTGAAGCTCTCACAGCCATGCTGTCCCAAAATATCAGTGGGAAAAGTCAGGATCACCACGAGCTGAAGCTCTCACAGCCATGCTGTGTCTCAGCACAGCTCTGAGCACTCAGGGATCCCCAAACCCAGCCCCCTGAGCAGGACTTGCCTGGAGAAGAAGTGCTCTCTGATGTGGATCTCTTCCTGGAAGGGCTGCAGTTTGTGCTCTCTGACTGCCTCTGGGAGGGCTTCTCCTGGCTTGGCAAAGTGCCTGCAAGGCAGAAAAAAAACATCATTTCAGTCTAAAGGTTTAAATTCAGGTTACTCTGAACACCTGTGTGCTCCCAGAATGAAGCGGAAGGATGGAAAGAAACAGAAAGCAGGGATTGCACACAGGATAGAGGCAGAGGTAAACAAGCCATGAGTAAAGACATGTAAATATTAACCACCAGAATGAGCTTGGATTTGAGAAAAGGAAAGAAAAAGAAAGGAAAAAGAGGGGAAGGGGAAAGGAAAGAAAAGGAAAGGAAAGGAAAGGAAAGGAAAGGAAAGGAAAGGAAAGGAAAGGAAAGGAAAGGAAAGGAAAGGAAAGGGGAAAGGAAATCCCCCACATATTTCAGAAGGGGTTGAATCCAAACTCCTTGATGAAAGGAAAGGAAAGGAAAGGAAAGGAAAGGAAAGGAAAGGAAAGGAAAGGAAAGGAAAGGAAAGGAAAGGAAAGGAAAGGAAAGGAAAGGAAAGGAAAGGAAAGGAAAGGAAAGGAAAGGAAAGGAAAGGAAAGGAAAGGAAAGGAAAGGAAAGGAAAGGAAAGGAAAGGAAATCCCCCACATATTCCTACTCTCAGTGAATCCAAACTCCTTGATTTTCAGAAGGGGTTGGAAAAGACCTCTGCAGATTACCAAGACCAACCACCCTGCCCAAAACAGGGTCAGCTTGCTCAGGGCCACCACATTCTGCTGGGTTTTTCACATCTCCAGTGACACATTCTCTGATCAGCAATTCCCTCACCCTCACTGTGACTGCTGTTTTCTTCTGCACAAAGAGAATTCCCTCCATTCCAGTGGCTCTCCTGCTCCTGGGCACCACCAGGACCAGTTTCACTCCCTTTCCTTCATTCCCTCCCAGCTGGAACATGGACACACTGGGAAAGCTCCCTCTGTGCATCCTCTGCTCCAGGCTTGACAATCCCAGCTCTCCCAGTCCCTCTGGGTGAGCAATCCCAGCTCTCCCAGCCCCTCTGGATTATTGATCCAGCTCTCCAGCCCCTCTGGATTATTGATCCAGCTCTCTAACCCCTCTGGATGGCCGATCCAGCTCTCCCAGCCCCTCTGGATGGCAGATCCAGCTCTCCAGCCCCTCTGGATTATTGATCCAGCTCTCTAACCCCTCTGGATGGCCGATCCAGCTCTCCCAGCCCCTCTGGATGGCAGATCCAGCTCTCCAGCCCCTCTGGATTATTGATCCAGCTCTCTAACCCCTCTGGATGGCCGATCCAGCTCTCCCAGCCCCTCTGGATGGCAGATCCAGCTCTCCAGCCCCTCTGGATTATTGATCCAGCTCTCTAACCCCTCTGGATGGCCGATCCAGCTCTCCCAGCCCCTCTGGATGGCAGATCCAGCTCTCCAGCCCCTCTGGATTATTGATCCAGCTCTCTAACCCCTCTGGATGGCCGATCCAGCTCTCCCAGCCCCTCTGGATGGCAGATCCAGCTCTCCAGCCCCTCTGGATTATTGATCCAGCTCTCTAACCCCTCTGGATGGCCGATCCAGCTCTCCCAGCCCCTCTGGATGGCAGATCCAGCTCTCCAGCCCCTCTGGATTATTGATCCAGCTCTCTAACCCCTCTGGATGGCCGATCCAGCTCTCCCAGCCCCTCTGGATGGCAGATCCAGCTCTCCAGCCCCTCTGGATTATTGATCCAGCTCTCTAACCCCTCTGGATGGCCGATCCAGCTCTCCCAGCCCCTCTGGATGGCAGATCCAGCTCTCCAGCCCCTCTGGATTATTGATCCAGCTCTCTAACCCCTCTGGATGGCCGATCCAGCTCTCCCAGCCCCTCTGGATGGCAGATCCAGCTCTCCAGCCCCTCTGGATTATTGATCCAGCTCTCTAACCCCTCTGGATGGCCGATCCAGCTCTCCCAGCCCCTCTGGATGGCAGATCCAGCTCTCCAGCCCCTCTGGATTATTGATCCAGCTCTCTAACCCCTCTGGATGGCCGATCCAGCTCTCCCAGCCCCTCTGGATGGCAGATCCAGCTCTCCAGCCCCTCTGGATTATTGATCCAGCTCTCTAACCCCTCTGGATGGCCGATCCAGCTCTCCCAGCCCCTCTGGATGGCAGATCCAGCTCTCCAGCCCCTCTGGATTATTGATCCAGCTCTCTAACCCCTCTGGATGGCCGATCCAGCTCTCCCAGCCCCTCTGGATGGCAGATCCAGCTCTCCAGCCCCTCTGGATTATTGATCCAGCTCTTTCAGCCCCTCTGGATGACAGAGGCTCCCACCCCCTGGTCATTCCTCACTGCAGCATGCCCATGTCTCTCCTGGCCTGGGCAGCCCAGAGCAGACACAGCACTCCAGCTGTGCCCTCTCCAAGGTGGAGAAGAAAGGAATCACATCCCCCTCATGCCCCTGGTGATGATGTCCATTCCCCAGCCCCTGTGCTGCTCCTCAGAGAGCCTCTCCAGCCCCTCCTGGCACTGCTGGTCCCTGAGTGAGCTGGCACTGTCCCCAGTGTCCCTGTCAGCCCATGCAGGGCACTGGGAAGGAGGTGAAGCACTGAGTGACCCCATCCCTCTGTGCTGGAAGGTGCTTTTTCATCCAGGAAAAGCATTCCCTTCCCCTCCTTGGGCAGAACTGCTCACCAGGAACTGCAGAAAGGTGAAAAGCCAAAAAGAAAATTCCCAAGATTTTAAAATTCTTTACATTTCTCCTTTGCTGTGTTGTTTTTCCTTTACAAGATCCCGTCACAATAAAAAAAAACACAAAAATTCCTGCTCCAGTCCATCATGGCAAATCTGTTAAAGCCCTGGGGCCTAAACAAGTGAGGATGATGATTATCTACAGCCAGAGCAGCACAGGATTTGAGGCACCTGCAGAACACATTTCCCTCTGTTCTGAGCACACAGGGCTTGCTGGGACTTGCAAAATCCTTGCATGATGTCAGCAGGCAGCAGGAAGCACAATTATCATTCCTTGAGTTAAAACCAATTTTAGAAAGATCCAGGAATTCCACAAGTGCTGCAGGGTGAAGGGACAGGGCTGGCAAGGGCAGCTCTGCTGAGAACACAGCTATTTGTTTCCCTTTTTACACATAAATATTTTCTTACAGTGAACTGCTTTATTTTCCTAAAATTTCAACTTTTAGAGAATCCCAATTACTCTTGAAAGCAAAGGCTGTGAGAGTCATGAAAATGTCATAGAAAAACCTGGCATTGCAGTTAGGAAAATGCTGAGATATTAAAAACTCTGATCAGTATAAAACCCCAGATAAGCAAAAAATGCATGTGGTAGTGCAAGAGGAGAATGTGCATATCCTGATAATCTCTAAAAGACAAAATCCAGGATGAAAAAACCCAGATTTTTGCCATTTCCCTTCAAAATATGGTACAGTAATTAATATTATATATTCATTATTATACCATATTTTGGTGTATAATTGATTATTATTTATATCCCTCCCTTCCTCAAAGAACACTCCAAAAGGTAACAGCAGGACACTGAAGTTCTGATAAAATTCCTGCCCTGCCCATGGCCTCAGTGCCTCAAGGGAAACCCCAAGGTGTGTGATGATGGGAGAATCCCTGAAAGCACCAAACTGATGCACCAGAATCTCTGGGGAAATCTCCTTTTAGATCCTCTCTTAAAAGTTTGGATTTTTTTTTTTTAAATCATGGGCACTCCTGATGACTCCTGGAGGGAAGGAACAACAGCACTTTTGCAAGGATTCCAACCTCTAGAGCTGAGCTGGGCTGGGCTGAGCTGAGCTGAGCTGGGCTGAGCTGGGCTGTGCTGGGCTGAGCTGGGCTGGGCTGAGCCGGGCTGGGCTGGGCTGGGCTGGGCTGAGCTGAGCTGAGGCTCAGCACCTGTCCTGGGTTCCAGCTGGGACAGAGTGAATTTGTCCCAGTGGTGCCTCAGGGTTTAGTCTCCAATATGCTAATGAACCAAAACTTCTAAAAGTGTCACCAGTTGTCCATTTTTGTGACCATTTTGGGTTGTGCTGCCCAAGGTGGATTTATTGAGACCTCCTAATAAATCCTTACTTTATTCTTTAACTCTGTCTAGGTCAGCCTCCACAAGGCACCACCAGTGCCTGGTTCAGGGGAAGGATGATGTTGGATGGTGCCCAGCACTCTCCGGGGTCCCCTGCTCCGTCCTTTTCATGACAATTATTACTACTGTCATTAATATTATTATTATAATATATAATTTTATTTTAATGATTAAAGATTCTTATCTTAACCCAAGAGTTTCACTTTATTCTGAGCCTCTGCCCACCCACCCCTGTGGGTTCAGGGAGCTGCTGTAGCAGGTCTGTCCTTCCAGGGTGACTTTTCCTCCTGAGGAACTCCAAAATGCATTGAATTTAAAAAGTTTACATTAACCAAGTACGCTGGGAGCTGGGATTGAAAATAGAAATTAAACAGAGGGAGTTAAGTGGGGAAGGGACTGTAATTCATAACAGGGAAAAATACAAGGAGAAGGTTTTGGAGGTGGCAGGGATGGCACTGCTGGCAGGGGGTGGCACATCCCGGGGACACGGGATGGCACATCCCAGGGATAGGGGGTGGCACAGGGGGTGGCACATCCCAGGGACAGGGGGTGGCACAGGGAGTGGCACATCTCAGGGATAGAGGGTGGCACATCCCAGGGACAGGGGGTGGCACAGGGAGTGGCACATCCCGGGGACAGGGGGTGGCACATCCTGAGGACAGGGGGTGGCACATCCCGGGGATAGGGGGTGGCACAGGGGGTGGCACATCCCGGGGACAGGGAGTGGCACATCCCGGGGGTACAGGGGTGGCACATCCCGGGGACAGGGAGTGGCACATCCCGGGGGTACAGGGGTGGCACATCCCGGGGACAGGGAGTGGCACATCCCGGGGGTACAGGGGTGGCACATCCCGGGGACAGGGAGTGGCACATCCCGGGGACAGGGGTGGCACATCCCGGGGGACAGGGGGTGGCACATCCTGGGGACAGGGGTGGCACATCCCGGGGGTACAGGGGTGGCACATCCCAGGGACAGGGAGTGGCACATCCCAGGGACAAGGGGTGGGACAGGGGGTGGCACATCCTAGGGACAAGGGGTGGCACGTCCCGGGGACAGGGGGTGGGACAGGGGGTGGCACATCCCGGGGGGCAGGAGTGACACGTCCCAGCAGACAGGGGGTGGCACATCCCGGGGACAGGGGTGGCACATCCCGGGGCCTGTCACCGCAGTGTCCCGGGGACTGTCACCGCCGGTGCTCCGGGACCCCAGACCCCGCGAGGGGACCCTGTGTGACGCCCCCCGCCCCACCGGGACGCGGCAGAGGAGCGGCGGGGCCGCCAGGGGGCGCTGCTGCCCGCCGGTGCCGCGGCCCCGGGGAGGGAACGGGAACGGGAACGGCCGGGACCCCTCGGACAGGGACGGACACAGGGACAGGGACCCCTCGGGACAGGGACCCCTTGGGATAGGGATAGGAACAGGACCCCTCGGTACAGGGACCGGGACCGCCCGGGCAGGGACGGACACAGGAACAGGGACCCCTCCGGACAGGGACCCCTCAGACAGGGACGGACACAGGGACAGGGATGGAGAGAGGGACCGGGACAGGGACCGGGACCGGCACAGGGATCCCTCGGGACAGGGACTGCCACACGGTCTGGCACTGCCCGGGTCACACACGGCCGTGCCCGGTGACACGGCGATGCCACGGGAAGGAACAGATCCAAAGGGATCCAGCACACGGCCGATCCCGTTCCCTCCCTGCCTCGGGACTGCCAGCACTGCAAGCCAACACACCGAGGCCCCAGGAACTGTAAGCAGCACACCAAGGCTGGCTAAGATATGGCATCAATTATTCAAAAGAACTCAGGTGGAAAGCTGCAGGAGCTCAGAAACAACTTGGGATGAACAGAGAGCAGAGTCCTACAAAACTCCCCTGGAGAAAACAGCAGAGCCTGGAGTGGACAAAACACCCCTGGACAGAACACCCCTGGACAAAACATCAGAGCCTGGAGTGGACAAAACACCCGTGGAGAAAACACCAGAGCCTGGAGTGGACAAAACACCCCTGGACAGAACACCCCTGGACAAAACATCAGAGCCTGGAGTGGACAAAACACCCGTGGAGAAAACACCAGAGCCCGGAGTGGACAAAACACCCCTGGACAGAACACCCCTGGACAAAACATCAGAGCCTGGAGTGGACAAAATACCCCTGGACAGGACACCAGAGCCTGGTGTGGACAAAACAACCCTGGACAGAACACCAGAGCCTGGAGTGGACAGAACTGCCCTGGACAGAACACCAGAGCCTGGAGTGGACAAAATACCCCTGGACAGAACACCAGAGCCTGCTGTCCTGCCCTGCTGTGCCGAGGTCACACCACAGCCCCAGAGTGGGAGCTTCCACCTGTGCTTCAGCTCCTGGGAAGCTCTGACCTCCTCGGGAGTCCTGTCTGCACAAACAGCCAGCACAACCCTCCTCTAACACAGCTCAGACGTGGGCAAACCCCTGCCAATATCTGCCAATATCATAAAAAGAATTTGTTCAACCAGTTAGGCCAGGTTTATGGTCAAAATGTGGAGGTGAGGTAGATTTTCCACGTGGAATACTCTGAAATAAAGCATCACAAACATTCCCTGGGGATCCCAAAGACCCATTCTGGATGGGTTCCCTGGTGCTGATCCCTGACTGCTTATTCCAAGTCTCTGATCCAGCACCAGCACGCACCCAAACTGTGTCTACTTTTATAAATAAATAATCTTTGATGCACCAAAGGTTTTCTCTCCATCTGTGCCTTTCCTTTAATCTTTAACCCATGGTCATGGATTCAGAATCACCATTTGGCACCGTGGCTAAAACCAAAACACCCCAAACACAACATGCAAACTGACACGGATCTAAAACCCCAAATCTGGCATTTCTCTTTCCTGGGGCTTTTCACCAGACGTGGTTTAAGTCTTCTGAGTGTTGTGGGGTTCCTTGGGAATGAGCTGGACCCCAATCCAAATGCCAGCCTCACAAAATATCCATATGTTCCAGGTGGGAATGCACTGCCTGGAAGTGACAGCCCAGCCTGAGGAACCACTCCAACTTCCTGGGGCAGGGAGCAGGCAGAGCCTCCACAAAAAGCATCTCTGCTCTCCCCCTCCTTGGGTTACTCCTCACACACACCCAGGCCAGATCATTCACTCCAATCATCTCCCAGTTCCCAGAGCTGCTCAGGTTCCCACAACCAATTCCCTCCTCAGAGCCAAATTTAAGTGACCCAGCACTTGGAACTTCTCTTTCCATCACTGCAGGAGAAGCAATCTCATGGTTCTGCTGCCTTCTCCACACCCCACTCACCACCTCAAGTCATTTCAGTACCAGTAGAAAGAAATAGGAATTTGTCAAAGATCCAGCTGGGCTTAAAATAAAGAAGGAAAACATAAACCACCCCAAACCAAGAGAAAATCCCTGTGCACACACAGGTGTGCTGAGCAGAGGAGGTGGCAGGAGGCACCACAGCAGGAGCATCCCATGGGAAGGAGCAAGATGAGAGCCAGGAATGTGAGGAGGGATTTTTCAGTCCTGGCAGCTGGTTCTTGCTCTGTGAAATATTAGTCACAAGTGGCTTTGGACAGTGATTTAGACTTCAAGGGAGAATGTAGGCAAGAAGGGAAGGGAGAAGCAGCTCAGGCTTCCCTCACACACTGGAAGCAGGCAGGAGCACAAGCTGCACTTGCCCTTTGCAGGTTATCTTTTCTTTTCCTTAATATTATGCAAATGACAAGCTCCTGTTCCTGCTCCTCCTGTTCCAGTATTGCTTGAGGCTGAAAGATGAATTTCCCAACTATGAATAAATCCAAAATTTCTAGGTTTGGTCTCAGGCATCCCCAGCATCAATCCCAGCAGTTCTGAGGTGTTGCAAGAGGCCTCGAGGCAGGGATTGAAAGCTCTGTTGTAGCAGAGATTGTCAAATTACCAAAACAGAGTTACAAAAGGAATAGGAAACACTTTCTTAAATGGAAACATTACTCACAACAGCAGCAGCAACAGGTGGTCTGAACCTAAGCAACCAAACTTCCAACAGAAACACGGCTTTGAAAATATCAAAAAATGGTGAGAAACTTTCCCTCATTTCTCTGGAAAAGTAAAATTGCACGGAAAAAGCAAAGACCTTTGCATGAGAAAGCAAGAGAGAAAGAGGCAAGAAGGGAAGGGAGAAGCAGCTCAGGCTTCCCTCACACACTGGAAGCAGGCAGGAGCACAAGCTGCACTTGCCCTTTGCAGGTTATCTTTTCTTTTCCTTAATATTATGCAAATGACAAGCTCCTGTTCCTGCTCCTCCTGTTCCAGTATTGCTTGAGGCTGAAAGATGAATTTCCCAACTATGAATAAATCCAAAATTTCTAGGTTTGGTCTCAGGCATCCCCAGCATCAACCCCAGCAGTTCTGAGGTGTTGCAAGAGGCCTCGAGGCAGGGATTGAAAGCTCTGTTGTAGCAGAGATTGTCAAATTACCAAAACAGAGTTACAAAAGGAATAGGAAACACTTTCTTAAATGGAAACATTACTCACAACAGCAGCAGCAACAGGTGGTCTGAACCTAAGCAACCAAACTTCCAACAGAAACACGGCTTTGAAAATATCAAAAAATGGTGAGAAACTTTCCCTCATTTCTCTGGAAAAGTAAAATTGCACGGAAAAAGCAAAGACCTTTGCATGAGAAAGCAAGAGGAGTCTGTGGGGAGGAAGGACAGAGTGCCATGGGTGGCTCTGGGGGAGCTCCCCTGTCAGTCTGTGCTGACACTGCAGCAACAGAGCCTGAGGACAGGGGCAGGGCTGGACACCCCTGCAGAGCCAAAACCTCACCTGCCCCCTGCTCCAGCTGTGCTTGGTACAACAGAACCCATCAAAACCCACGGAAAGGCCGAGCTCCCTTACCTGACAGTGGCTGCAGGGCCTTCTCCAGGGAAGAAGGCAGGGGCTCCTTGCGGAGGGGCCGGCCCAGCGCCGCGTCCTGCCCGCCGAACAGCCCAGGGCTCTCGGGTAACTTTTTCCGTCCGTTGGTGCTGGCAGAGTTGCTGACTCTGCAGCTGCCTATTGCACTTGTGAAAAGGTTTGTGTGTTCGTCGCTGCTGGCTGGCTCTGAGCTGGGAGTGAACCCCCCCAGGGACAGAGCTGGGGAGTTTTCAGAGCAGTCTATCTGCAGAGGTGTCTGCAAGCCCAGCGCCAAGGAATTGGACTCCGAAGGCTCTCTCCTGACCCACTGCTCGTCTCTGCTCAGCAAACCCTTGGAAGGTGACAGGTGAGGACAAGCCATGTGGCATCTGTGTTTCTCTTTGTGTTTGTACCTATCCCCAACGGCCTCCTTCCCAAACCTGTAGCGCTTCAAGGACTCCAGAACCGTTCTGGAGGAGCTGTTGGCCGCGATGGTGTCCATGGAGACCTGGGGCTGCTCGGAGGAGCGGTGCTCCCGGTGCTTGTGGCGGTGCCTGTGCTTGTGTTCCAGCATCCAGCCGTAGGCCATCTCGGGGGGGACGCTGGGGTACGTGCTCATGGACAGCAGAGGAGTCCTGCTGGTGGTGAGGAAAGCTTCCTGGCGCAAGAGTTTATGCTTCTTCTTGTGGTATTTGGTGGGGTTGAGAAGCAGGTGGCCTGTATGCATGTAGGAAGGTGGGGGTAGGGGGGTAGTGAAAGAAGGAGAGGGTGGAGGAGGGTAAAGAGTTGGAGGGTACCTTCCATAATAACCTAATCCTATGGGAGCAGCTGCCAGGGGAGAAGGGGAGTAAGGCATGCCATAGGAGGGGTAGAACCCGGTGCTGGACAGGGGGAAGCTCAGGCTATGCATGAAAGGCATTTCTGCCATAGCTTCCCGCATTTTTGGAGGCCTGCCTCTCTTTTTCTTTAAATCAGGTTTTCTAATGTAGTGCAAAGGATCTAAAGGAAAAGTAGGGTGGGTGTAGAAACTATTGAAATTTATCCTAAAAATGGTAGGCAGCAAATCTCGGGGTATAAAATGGTGACTTCTGTGGGTTATTCTAATTTCACTTAACCGACTTATTAACTCCTCTAGCTCGGCGAGGAAATCAGGGTCCTGCCTCCCTCGGAGCTGAGGGTACTTCTTTTTCCTTTTTCTCTTCTGCCTCTTCATCTTGTCGTAGCTGAGGTAATCGTGGCTGCGGCGCTTGCACTTGTGTTTGTGCTTCTCCTTCAGGTTGCCGAGCACGGTGGAAGTCTCGGGCGGGATGAGGGACACGTGGTCAAACGAGTGCCTCTTTTTCTTCTGCCCGCAGAACTTCTCGGCTCGGTCCGAGGTGCTGTTGTTGTCTGTGCCTATCCCGCTGTCACTGGGGATGGTCTCATCGCTGTGGGACTCGCTCACGGGCGACGGCGTGGCCTCCTTGAGCGACGTCAGCTCGCTCAGGTGCGACGGGGAGTTGGGCAGCAGCGTGGGTGGGGACAACCTCCTCCTCCCCTTGGCTGCTTTCTTCATGGCCAGGGTCTGCACCACGCTGCCCTGCCTGGAGTGCAGGTGCAGGTAGGGCACCGAGCTGGGCTCGATGAAGCCCGCGTCGCTGCTCACGGGGCTCTGCCCCCCGCTCACGGCCGAGGACTGCGAGCACACCGGCGACGGCAGGATCTCCGAGGGGCTCGCTGCCGAGGGCAGCAGGTGGGGAAGGACTTGTCCTAGGGATGTACCAGGAGCTTGCTGGGCAGACTTCTCCAGAACTGTCAGGCTGGCAGCACTGCTGGCTAAAATGCCATTCAGCACAGCTTTAGGTTTCCTCCCTCTCCTTTTTCCTATGTAAATGGTTCCTTTCTTGCTGACGTTGATTTGCTGGCCCAGTTTTGAGCCGAACGTGGCAGCAAGAGTTGACACGGTGTTGTGGAGCTTGGATTGCATCTTCCCTTTGGTATTTGGTTCCACTGTACTGGACAGAATCTGATTCAGGAGTTTCTTTCGCTTCAGAGTTTTCATTTTATTTATTTTTCGAATAATTGTTTTCATTAACTGTCCGTTATTTCTCTTGGCAACTTTTCTGTCTGAGTCTACTTCCAAATCACTCATGCTACAAATACTGGGGCTTTGGACTTCTTCTGGCCCTCGGAGCTGGTCCTTCCTCTCAAAGAACTCCCCGGGCCGATGCTGCTCACTTTCAGGCCCCATCTTGCTCGAGTTCTCTGTTCCAACAAAAGGTGCCACAGACAGAATGGGTGGTTTCATTTTTATCGATGACCGGATCTGCCTTTTAGGCCTTCCTCTCTTTTTAGGAAAAGCTTGTCCTGATAAGCTTTGTTTTAGGGAGGGAATTTCGACTTCAGGCTGCAAAATTGGAGGTTCTTGCTCTTCTTTTGACTGCACTGAGAAGACTTTTGATGCTGGGATCTTGAGAGTTCTTTTGGGGGGACCTTCGAGTTCTGGCATTTCCTTGGATTTAGGCCTTCCTCTCTTGGGTTTGTATATGTCAGTTAAGAAATCATCTGACATACATAAGCTGGAGGGTTGCTTGTGAGCGCTGTAGAACTTCTGAGTTTGCTTGTCAGTCTCAGCCAGCAGTGCCAGAGACTGCCCATTAGCTTCGTTCAGCTTTGGCAACTGATGTTTGACAAATTCATGCTCCACAAACGAGGATGATCCGATGTTTTTCAGGAATTTGGCCTGCTCCAAATTACTGCTCGATAGTGCACTGTAGGAAATGTTTTTAAAAAGCTCTGACCTTTCCAGTTCCAGACCCTTTGGAGGTCGGCACGTGCTTCTCGACACCACTTTAGTCCATCGTGGCTTCCTTCCTTTTCTTTTCTTTAAAGGTTTTGATTGCTGAGTGCTGCTCAGGTTTTTTGCTCCTTGGCAGGATTTCTCAGATGCAGCTATTGCACCGATCTTGAGGAACTGCTTGCTACCAAACAAGCTGGTAAAACTAACTACTGAAGGGGTGACAGTAGCGTGGATGCTTGTCTCAGCTGCCAAAATGGGCTTTTTCCCCGTGGGAGGACTTGTTCTTGAAGTTTCCAGGTAAGATGCTTTTGAATCACTTAAGTCTTTCTCAGCACCTTTAAAATCAGTGCTGAGGGTGTGGTTCAATGTCCTGTTCAGACTCAGCAGGGAGCTGTCCGAGGAGAAGGGCGTTTTGCCCATGGGCTCTGAAATGCCCTCCAAGAGCTCTGCCGTGGAACTTAAGTGCAATGAGTTGGATGCCAGCTGGGAGGAGGCTGTGGAGAGGCTCCTGTTCAGGGTGGGGACAGACACAGTGGGGGAAGGAGACGGGAGATTCCCCTCTCCCACTGCACTGAACGGGGACTTGGCTGTCGACACCTCCGAGGCACCTCCTGTCCTGAAGTCTGGTGAAGTGCAATAAACTGGAGGCTGCTTCTCGTGCTTAGACATTTCATAAATCCCTTTCTCACTGGATGAGTAGGCATCCTGTGGAACACACATTCCTTCACTGAACATCTCTTTGCCTACATCAGCAATTTCTTTCCGAATGGAAAACTTGTCCAAGATGCTTTCTTTGCTCTGTCTCATAATGTGCTTCTCAAAGGTTTTGCTGGTAGTATTTTCCTTCAGTAAATCCGCAGGCTCGTGGCTTTCAAGGCTACTGAGGTTTGAATTGCAAGGAAGCTTAAAGGGCTCTGAGGAGGGCACGAGGGAGTCTGCTTTCAGAGTTCCAGAGTCCTTGTTAGCCAAACCAGCTGGGCTGCCAATCCCTGCTGGCTTCTTCCCACAGTCCTTGCTAACCAATCCCACAGGACTGCTGATTCCTGGCATCTTCCTGCCAGGGTCCTTGCTAACCAGTCCCATGGGGCTGCCAATCCCTGGCGTCTTCCTCCCAGAGTCTTTGTTAACCAGAGCTGTGCTGTTCCCACTCCCTGGCATCTTCCTTCCAGAATCCTTGTTAAGCAGACCTGTAGGACTATTTATTCCCAACAACTTCTTCCCAGCATCCTTGTTAACCAATCCTGCTGGAGCGCTGATCCCTACTGGTTTCTTGAGAGGCTCCTTGCTGGGCAGAGCAGCTGGAGTGCTGATCCCGGGAAGTTTCCTCCCCACGTCTTTGCTGATCAACCCAACTGCAGAGCTGGTCACTGGCTGCTTCTTTCCTGAATCCTTGTGGACTAACCCTGTTGGAGTGCTGATCCCTGGAGGCCTCTTCCCAGAGTCCTTGCTAACCAATCCAATTAAGGGGCTGATTGCTTGGGGCTTCTTCCCAGAGTCTTTGTTAACCAGTATGGCTGCGCTGCCAATCCCTAATGGCTTCTTCCCTGAGTCCTTGTTCACCAACCCAACAGCAATCCCAGAGCCTGGCAGTTTCTTCACCAAATCTTTATTAACCAACCCACTTGCAGTTATAGCTCCTGGCAGCTTCTTCCCAGAGTCTTTCACCAAACCAGATGTAGCTCCATTTCCACTTCCAGGCTTCTTCTGCTTGCTTTTGGAAGACTTGGAAGGAGGACAAGTTGCAATAAGTTGAGCCAATTTTTCTGTGACAGTTGTTGCTCCGTTAATTTCTGTTCTATCCTTTAAATCAGAATTATGGCTACTGATAAGGGTCGCAGGAGATGACTTTATATAATCTGTCATTTCAGAATGCAATGGGGAAACTTTCTTAGATAAAGGGGTTGTTTCTACTTCGATACCTTCTTCCACGTGTAACTCAACTGCTGCAACTTCTCCAGCTTTCTTGAAAGACTTGGAAGGGTCCTAAGAGTTAATAAAGAAAAAAAGTCTTTAGGAACAGGGTACAAAGTATCACTTTGAGTAACACAGTATCTTTTTATGTTTGGGTGATTAACACTTGCTCTGGTATCAGGGTTACTGTATAAACAGAAGCTTCATGATCCCATTAATTTTAAACCAAACAATAGTAATGTCAGTAATTTAAATAATAAAATGTCACAATAAAATAAACACACTCAGCAAGTAAGAGTGATATTCATATTTAAAGCAAAATGTTTTAATGGTGGACAAAGCTGAGGCTTTGCTGATGTTAACAAAACCCAAACTCCCAAGTCTGGAAATACAAACCATTTAATCTGTCCCCCAATTATTACAAATATCCTCCAAAAATACTGTTGATGTTTATTAATAAAAACCCACAAACAACAAAGTGCTGGGCTATTTATAGTGTGAGAGCACTTGAGGAGCTCACATGGTGCTGAGCAGTGCCCTGGCAGGGCTGGCACTGTCACCCTGTCCCTGCAGAGCCCTGCTGGCAGCTCAGCCGTGTCCCCCCAGCCCCTGCACCAACAGCTTCTCCTCCCAGCACAGCACTGACAGTCAGGAAAATAACCAAAATAAAAGAACTCAAATTATTCTGTTTGTATGGAGGGGAAGGGGGGGTGATAATGCACACACGAGGAATAACTGAAACTCACTTCCAGTTCAGACCTCACCAAACATGAAATTCATTCTGTAAAGGTTAAAATCAAAACTGCAACACCCAATACCTTCATAAATCCTACTGAGGGCATCTCAATAAATTAATCTTTTATTCTGGAAGGGCATTCTTTGCACACAGTGCCCAACACACCTCTGCAGGGCAGGGGACACGTGCATGGCAGTGGAAGGCTCTGAGCCCTGAGGAGATGATTCTGCCCAAGGCTCTGGTGTCCCCAGCAGCAGGAGGACAAGGAAATGCTGGAGCAGCTCCAGAGGAAGCCATGAAGTTGATGAAGGGACTGGAGCCAGGCTGGGAGGGCTGGGAATGTCCAGCCTGGAGAAGAGAAGGTGTGTGGAGACCTCAGACCTTGCAGGACCTGAAGGGGCTCCAGGGAAGCTGGAGAGGGACTGCTCATCAGGAACTGGAGTGACAGGACAAGGGGAATGGGTTCAGACTGAAAGAGAGAAAATTTAGGTTGGATATGTGGGAGAAATTCCTCCCTGTGAGGATGTGAGGCCCTGGCACAGGTGCCCAGAGCAGCTGGGGCTGCCCCTGGATCCCTGGCAGTGCCCAAGGCCAGGCTGGATGAGGCTTGGAGCAGCCTGGGGCAGTGGGAGGACTGGAGCCAGGCTGGGAGGGCTGGGAATGTCCAGCCTGGAGAAGAGAAGGTGTGTGGAGACCTCAGACCTTGCAGGGCCTGAAGGGGCTCCAGGGAAGCTGGAGAGGGACTGCTCATCAGGAACTGGAGTGACATGACAAGGGGAATGTGTTCAAACTGAAAGAGAGAAAATTTAGGTTGGATATGTGGGAGAAATTCCTCCCTGTGAGGGGGCTAGGCCCCGGCACAGGTGCCCAGAGCAGCTGGGGCTGCCCCTGGATCCCTGGCAGTGCCCAAGGCCAGGCTGGACAGGGCTTGGAGCAGCCTGGGGCAGTGGGAGGTGTCCCTGCCATGGCAGGGGGTGGAATAAGCTGGGCTTTAAGGTCCCTCCCAGCCCAAGGTCACTGTGATGCTGTGATTTCATTCCCAATTTAAAAACCTCCTGGGACCTACCAGAACAAACACTAAATATGGAGTGAAAGACATCAATGCCACAGCTCTTCATCCCTCTGCCATAAAAACTGGTATGGCAATGGCCTGGCACTTCCAGCAGCTGATCATCCTGATCCCAGAGCTGTACCCATGGATGCTGAAGGAAGGGACAGCCTGGATTCCTCTGACAGCCAATTTTGGTGCTGATCATGAAGGATTTGTTCAGTCAGCTGCACTTAACCAGGAATTTGCAGCCTGGGCACTGCTGAGTGTGGCATTTTCTGAGACCCCCGTCGAAGGGAGGAAATGATGAATGTGACTTTATGTTTTTAGAAGGTTAATTTATTATTTTATGACATTACATTATATATTATATTATATTATATTATATTATATTATATTATATTATATTATATTATATCATATCATATCATATCATATCATATCATATTTATTATATTATGCTATACTAAACTATACTAAAGGATAGAGAAAGGATGCAGACAGAAGGCTAAAAAGATAATAATGACAACTTTGTGACTCTCTTCAGAGCCCCTACACAGCTTGGCTGTGATTGGTCATTAAGGAAAAACAATTCACAAGAAACTAATGAAACAACCACCTGTTGGTGAACAATCTCCAAAGCAGCAAAACACAGGAGAAGCAAAGGAGATAATATTGTTTTCATTTTTCTCTGAGGCTTCTCAGCTTCCCAGAAGAGAAATCCTGGGCAAGGGGATTTTTCAGAAAATGTGACAGTGATGAGAATCAGCTGTGTGGGTAACGGGGGAGCCTCTGCAGTGAGCCCAGGCACCCCAAATGCAGGGCTGCTCCTTGCTGCAGGGATGGCACAGGGGTTCTGGGTGCCCACCTGCAGGCCTGGCACTCACATGGAAGCTCCTGAGTCAGCGTGCCACCACCCTGAGCCTGCAATCCTGGAATTCCCTGGGGCAATCCTGGAATTCCCTGGGGCACTGCAGTGCCAGAGAGTCACTGATGAGTATCAAAGCCTTCAGAGAGCTGCATCCTCCTCCTCCTCCTCCTCCAGCCTGAAATTCCGACAAGAACTTTGGAAGAAAAATCTCCTTTGTTTCAAAAATCCACCTAAATACTGACTGGGGAATTCAGCTCCTCATGCCTGTATTTGCTCTCCACACTTTTCCTTTTTTTTTTTCTGCTCCTCCTGGGTGCTCTGCCACCCTCTGGGTTCTGTGGTGCCCTCACACAGTCACTGCTGGGCATCCAACACCTCTTGGCAAGCTCTGCTTCTCCCTGCTCGCCTCCATTTCCAAACAAAGAGCTTGGAAGTTTGAGTAGACACTTAAATAATAAATACATAACTAACAAAACCCTTCCAAACACCAGCTTTGATCTGAGCAAGATGCCAGGATTCTGAAAACAAGACTTTAGCATCAAACACAGATCCTTTGAAAGCTGAAGGCGTGTGCCCTGGAAAGCTTCTTTCTCATCTAAGGGTGAGTGAGTTTTCCAAGCACACTGAAAATTATTTCAAAGAAAATGAAAAGGAAAACAGGAAGCATCATGTGAGATGTCAGACAAGAAGTCAAAAAAGTCTGTCATTTTTTTCAGCATTTTTAAACCTAAAATTCTTATATGGGATTTTTTCCCCCATAAATCTATTTAATAACCAGCATGATTAACAGAAACATTTTGGAGGGAAATTTTGAAGGACAAATTTCATCCAGTAACTTCTAATAGAACCATCTTGAGAAGTTTCCTTTGGAGCAGGTTGCAGTGGCTGCAGAAACATTTTAAAAATTCCCAATATCAGCCAGAGAGTCAAAGCTTCTTCTTGCAATTCTGTATCATTAAAAATTTCAGATTTTTGGTTGAAGTGAATAGCAGCTACTGCTGCCACTAAGGAGGAGTAAGGATATGGCAGATACCAAAATCAAACTGCAATCATGCACAGCCCCAAACTTCAGGAATAAAAAGGACATTTTCTGTGCAGAGGCAACAGTGGAAGAACTGAACTCTGCTGCTCCTTTACTGAGGGAATCAGGTAAAACCTTCAGGCACAGCAGCACAACTCTCCCAGCACACAGACCCTACCCTGGACACCCCCAGGGAAACACCCCTGGAACAAACCCCAAAACACCCCCAGGACACCCCTGGAACAAACCACAGAACACCCCCAGGAACAAACCCCAAAACACCCCCAGGACACCCCTGGAACAAACCCCAAAACACCCCCAGGACACCCCTGGAACAAACCACAGAACATACCCTGGAACAAACCCCAAAACACCTCCAGGACACCCCTGGAATAAACCTCAAAATACCCCCAGGACACCCCCCAGGAACAAACCCCAGAACACCCCCAGGACACCCCTGGAACAAACCCCAAAACACTCCCAGGAACAAACCCCAGAACACCCCCAGGACACCCCTGGAACAAACCCCAAAACACCTCCAGGACACCCCTGGAACAAACCCCAGGACACACCTTGGGATACACCCCCAGGACACCCTGTACAGGACACCCCCTCCAGGACACACCCCACAGTGTCACAGTCTGTGGCCATGGGGTCAGGCTGACCCCCAGCCCAGCTCTATTCACACACTGGGAAACTTCCCTGGAAACCTCCAGGTCCCAGCAGGGCAGGGACAGCAGCCAGCACTGCCACCTGCATTGGGGACAGGAATGACCAGTGACCCCCAGCCCAGCTCTGTTCACACACAGCAACCCACCCTGGGAGCCTCCCGGTGACAGCCAGCACTGACACCTGCACAGGGGACAGCAATGACCAATGACCCCAGCTCCCCTACTCACACACAGCAACCTCCAGGTCCCAGCAGGGCAGGGACAGCAGCCAGCACTGTCACCCGCATTGGGGACAGCAATGACCACTGACCCCCAGCTCTCCTATTCACACACAGCAACCTCCAGGTCCCAGCAGGGCAGGGACAGCAGCCAGCACTGCCACCTGCATTGGGGACAGCAATGACCAGTGACCCCCAGCTCTCCTATTCACACACTCAGCAACCTCCTCTGGGAACCTCCAGGTCCCAGCTGGGAGCAACCAGCACTGTCACCTCCATTGGGGACAGCAATGACCCCCAGCTCCCCTATTCACACACTGGGCAACCTCCAGATCCCACAGCAGGGCAGGGACAGCAGCCAGCACTGTCACCCGCATTGGGGACAGGAATGACCCCCAGCCAGCTCTGTTCACACACAGCAACCTCCAGATCCCAGCAGGGCAGGGACAGCAGCCAGCACTGCCACCTGCATTGGGGACAGCAATGACCAGTGACCCCCAGCCCAGC